TTTAGTTTCAGTAATGACTAAAGCAGAATGGCATTATTGTTATGAAGGAAGAATAACTGTGTCATGGGATTTTTAAAGCTGTTCTTCTATGGCTAGTTAACATGTTAACATTGTTGCAGAAAATAATTACTTCATTATGGAATCAGGAGAATGAAATTGTGAGCTTGACAGACTTTATTACTCTAGAAGTATTCTGAACCAGTATTCTTATTCCAGAAACAGCAATTTGCATGGGGAATTATTCTGGAGTAGTGGTGGATAAATCAATTGCAATTTCCCTTCTGTCTTCAGAGAAAGCACACATTGGCACTGTGATGCCATATATGAGAATTTGAAAAAAGTGAATGTGTGTTATTCAAACCTCTGAGTAGCTAGAGAATTTGGCTAAAATTACCAGAACAAAAATTCTTGTTAGACTTTCGTGTATGCCAAACACTTAGCAAAATTCATAATTGTTCCTGCACATTTATTTTTGTTGTAACTCTATTACTCCTGTTAGCATCCTGTTACCACTGATGAATTTTAGTTTATTTTGCCCACCTGCAAAGTCACTAAAATAGTAGCATGTAGGAGATAATTTTTCCAACACAAAATGTAAGTTAAGAAATTAAGAAATAAATTATGTTTACATTCTATAAAAACTATTATACCAGCATAAAAATGTCACTGGCATTCTAACAAGCACTGGTTTAATCCCAATTTGCTTGCACAATTCCCATTTCATGCATTGTCCTTAGTAGTTACATAACTATTCTGGCACATGTGGAATGTCAGAAAAATGAAAAGGTATCTTCTTTCCCCCAAGGGTTTGCAGTCTATTAGCCCAGCTTTCCTGGGCTGTGCACTTCCTCTGTTCCATAAGCTGGTTCCTAGCTAACTCAGCTTTGAACACAGTGGGGGATACAGAAGCTGTCTGTGATTTAATTGACTGTGTTTATACTATTGTTATTTTAATCACTATTTTAAAGGAACATTTTTCTCTTCTGTTGTTTTGCTCTTTAATCCGTTTTGGAAATACTCGATGTAGCACCAGCAACATCACTTTTTTCAAAGCTGTGGTCTAATTAAAATGTGCTGAACCAAACAGGCAAAATCCACATTGTTCTTGTTTTTGCTCTGTGTGCAAACAACATTAAACAATATTTTGTCTAAGAGCAGCATTGTTCTGTGCAGCTTGTAAAAGTTAACATGATGAACCCTTTAATAACTCCATTCTTCTTTTATTTATTAGCAGTTTGTACCCCATTCCTAGAACAGCTTATCTCCTCCCAGCCATACAGTCAAAGCATGCACTTTGTAAACCATGGATTTCTGAAAATATCTGTTTCAGAAAGTTTTAACACTGTTCTAGGAAATGACTGTCTGTAAGACTGCTGTTCCTTGAAGTGCAATAACTTTTGAGAAGAAAAAGTAGTGTCTTACAGATTTTTAGAATTGTTGGTGTGAGGTGATTTATAAGGAACTTTTTGGGGGGGATTTATTCTGTAAATAGCTTTAGAGAGTTGGAGAGGATCAGAGCAAGCCTGTACTATAAGATTTGACAGTGTAGGTCAGTTGCCTTAGTGAGTGGGAAAAAAAGAGCTGTGCCAGCACAAAATCATCTATGTAGAAGCAACTATACAACCAGAAGAATTCCTTTGTCAGCCCAGCTAATGTTGTTTGTGAAGGGAATGTTATAGTCCTAGCAGAAAACCCTCTTTCTCTTGGTAAGTGCTGTGTAATTATGCCAGCAGAATTTCTGAAGTACAGTCAGGCAAAAAAGCTGGCACGATCTTGAACAGAGAAACCCTGAAGCAGTGCCAGGACAAAACTTTGTTGTTTAAGTTATGTGTGGTAAATAGATCTCAAGTTATTGTTCTGTCACAGATGAATTTCAATCTTTAATCACTGACATGATGATATTACTTACTTTGATTTTCTATCCATAGTTTTCATTTTATTGTTTTGGGTTAGACAAAACAGCTTTTTCCAAATTAAATAGTGAAAGATAAAATTTCTCTTACCTTTTCCAGGTGACTGATTTCTGTCACATAATATCAATTTAACATGTTACAAATAAGAACTGACAAGGATTTCTGGAAGTCTTCAGTTTCTCCAGATGTGTAACGAAACCAGTAGTCAAATTTGGGCTCATGGCAGGAAATGCTCTGGCTGGATGTTCAGTGCTTGGTGTGCCTGCATTCTGCCAGAGCACCATGGAACTGGAGGTGTTCTGCTCCCAAGGGACAAGGCTGGAAGTCTAAAACATTTGTGTATCCTTGTGTACAACTCCAAAGCATCAGCTCCTGCTCTGTGCTGGGTTGTGCTCCCTTCACTGGTACTCCCTTCACCTGTAAAAATGATTTGGTTTCTTGAAATCCTGTTCAGCAATTTGATACCCAACTAGAACTGTCAGTGCTAAAACCATTCTTCTAAACAACAAAAAGAAAATACAGTTCATATTAGTATTTATAAATTGTCCCCAGGTGTCACTCCTGAGTCAGACAGAAGCATTTTAGAAATAAATCTGAGAATTGGTTTTCCTTTTCCTTTTTTTTCTTCCTGTTGTTTCTGCAGGTGATACTTCTCTTCTTGCATTTTTTTCCCATTGTTCTCTGTAAGGATGCCAACTCCAGCAGGCCAACTTAACTTGTCTGAATTATTCTTAGAGGATATCTTGGGGAGTTTTTGAATTTCAGTTACAGTAATGTAACTGCAGAAATACTTCCCTGGCAATACTTCATGATTTATGGTTAAATGATTGTTGTAGTTGATGAATCCTCTCTTATTTTGTCCAACTCTGCTAATTTCTACCATCCTTTGGAAGCAAAATCAAATTACAAGAAGAAAGCATTTATTAGCATCAACATGTAATTATTTGGAAAGCCAGTACAAGCTCTTGAAGTCCCATAACTGAACAAGAGCTGAAATGTAACTTTACTGGTAAATAAGGCATATAATTATTATTCCCCAAAGGTAAATATTACTGTAGGATAACCATCATTTCAGTCATCTCATTTGTTTGTGTGTTTGCACAGTCTACATATAACAAAACAGTGTTCTGCCTTGAGGATTTAATGTGTATTATACAAGGCAATGGATCAACTATTAACATAACTACAGTTTCTAAGTAACAATATTCTTTTCTTAATGTCACTTAATGAATTTATTCTTAATGCTGCTGGTTTTTGTTTCATTTGTTGGCTGAATCCAATATTTTACTTTATAAACAGCTTCTAAATTGAGGTATAAAACATCTCTCATTAAAGCCAATTGGTACAGTACGTTCTCCCAAAAAAGTAATTAAAGGGTTGTTTGCTTGGGTTTTTTAAAATATTAACTTCCATCTATCAAAATTACTCAAAAATGAAGGTTGCATAAGAACCTTGTTGAGCTAGAAAATGTCTTCCTTACTCCTGAACATAGATTTTGAAATAATGTGTGCTTTAGTTGTGCAGTGAGATTGTCAGTGGGAACTATTGCTTATCAAGAGTTATTGATTACATGTTTGCTTTCACACCCTTGAGGAGAGGAACTTTTCAATGTTAGGATGTGCAGAAAACAAAGGCAAAGGCCATGACAACTGTAATTCCTCATCGTTTTGTGAATCATTCGCTGCCTGTGTTTTGTCATTACATACATCACTGGCACTGTGTATAGCTGAGGGAAAAGGGCTGGGACTTGAATGGTGGCTGCTTAAAGGAATGACACATTAGAGACCCTTTACTGTCATTGCTCCCCAGTTTCCAATGTGTGAAAAATGTATTGCTTAATTATCATGAATTTGTAGTTTGGGGTACATCTGTCAAAAAAATTAGTTTATCCTTAAAGGCTGTAAGCTTTGGGAAATAGTAGTCCAACTGTAGAGTGAGAATTATTGCTGTAAGAGGCAGCATCATTCTCCAGAGCTCTGGTGAAATGAGCTGTATTGTGCCTTTTTATTTAGAGTTTGACGGAAAATATGAGACTACTTGGTATTTACTTTGTTTCTTATGAGAAATATTCTTGAACTCTAACCAACCATATAGGAAAACTTTCTGGCCAACAGAGAGAAAGCATTTCTGCCACAATATCTTATGATCCTATATATACAATCTGAAATAATTAGGCATAAATTAATTTCTACTGTATTTAGAGTTTTACAGGATTTTTCAAATGAAGACATTGGTGCATTAGTTCACCAAATGTGGATTTCTGTGGTGGACTTAGTTGCACATCCCCAGTAGGTGATCAGCTGTTTACCTTTTTCTTTTCCTGTTTTGTTTCTGGCCCTTTTTCTAGGACCTAGGACATAAAAATCCATGAACTGACTGGTTAATGAATTAAAGCTGCTTGCCATGTGGTCAAGTAAACCCTGCAGCCTTTCCTCATGCTTCAGTGTACAGAGGGTGAAGAGCAGGACTATCCTTTTCATCAACACCAAGACATTTAATCAGCCTATCTGTTTATAATTTAACCACATCTTTGGTGACTTCCAGACATAGGCATGTTTTGTTATTTCTTTCCTTGCTTTTGGATCAACATTTCTCTTATAAAGCCCCTTTACAGTTTTTATGAATAGTACCACTATCATATCAAGTAGATATCAGTTGTAGGATACATCACAGCAACACATAGAGCAGGAGTGCATAACAAAGTCCAACAAAGACAAATGTAAGCTGTTGCACCCCTGAAAAAGTGATCCAGGAGTGCAGCAAAGGCTGGGATCTTTCACTGAAGTCAGTGGATAAAAGCTTAAAGAACTGGATCCAACTTGTCTGTCCTGAAATTCACTTACTGTACCTGTGGATACCATGAAGATACTTTCATGAGTCTCTCCTTTCTCGAGATCACTGTGGACAATGTGATTGTCCTCTCCATGACTGAAAAGGCTAAACAGCATCTTAAAAGCAAAATCTGAAATTACTCTGTGCATAAAGTACCAAATGGTGCTTCAGAAACAGTTTTATGACTTCAGCACCAGCACTGACTTCCTAGTGAAAGTTTTGTCATAACCCACAGTCTCTACCCTTATTTTCTTTGTCACACCTAAATCAGATTTCATCAATTCCTATTTATCCACGAACCTTGAAGAGGGAGAAGAGCCTGTGATAGCCTTGAGCTGTGCACCTGGCCCATAGAAACAAGGGCAGAAGCCACAATAAGCATTTCCATCTGCCAGAGACTAGAATACAGATCTGTTAGACTGCTCCACTAAAACCAGTTTGTGTATTCCCACATGGTGCAGTTTGTGGGAAAATAAGTCTCATGTGTATGAAATTACAACTCCTTATACAATGTTCTCTTTCTGTATTTCTGTAGTCAAAAAGGCAATTAACCTAAATATGGTAAAGAGAGAGATCCTGTAATTCTGATCGGTCTGTGGCAGTGATACTGGATAGAGGCAGTTATTGCTACTTTCTAGAAATTACTGGTTTACTTTGTATTTAAAATAAACTCTATTAGAATAAAACATCAAGATACAAGTTAGCAGTGTAAACTATTTTCAATGTGACAGTCTGTAGTCAAAGCTTTTTATTTTTCCTGTAAGGAGACCAAATACATTTTCAGAAATGTTACATTCACTGTATATACATATACCTGGCTGGGAAGAAGATGCCCTATAAACTTATTTTTCCATGTTGGCTACTGCAGTTTTAGCCCAATGACAGTTCTGTATTATGGAAAAATAAGTGAAAAATGCAGATAATGTTTTGAATCAAAATTGTAAAGTATTAATATAGCACTTCTTTAATGATTAGAATATAATCTTATTAAATTTGTCATAGAAGCATGGTTATAAGAAAAAAAAAAAGAAGCTAAAACTCCCAAAATTAACTAAGCACAAATGCCAACCAAACCCTAATGATAGATGATAAATGAGACTAATTCAGAATTGAGACGCAATCACCATGAAAAAAAGCCCCTAAGTTTTAGAGATAAGAACAATTATTATAAACTCCTGTTTGGAGACCTTTCTTCTCTAAAGTTTGTAGTATTTAGCACCTGCTCCAGAAATGTCTTCTATAAATAACCATTTTCTGTTTCAGATAAAATTTACATAGAAAACTATCTTGGTGCAGCTGCTTAGTTTTCCTACAATTGTGAATTGCCAAAAAAGGAACAGTAATTCCTTGGGGACCTCAGAGTTAAATCCTTTTTCTGTGACATGAACCCATGTGGTGGAGCTGTGATGGACATCCATTCTTACTGCTAACTGTTCTTAGAGTTGCTCAGACTGAGAGCCCTTTTGTAGATGATCCTCACTCTTTTACAATTTCTGTGGCTTTGTAGTTCCATAATTACTGTCCCTGATGGCACAGTGCCCCAGAAATGAATATTTTGATCATTTGCTGCTCTCTTGTACTCCTTGTCACCTCCGGTGTTCCAGTGCACCACCGTCCTCCTGTGAAAACTACTGTGAGAAGAGTAAGTAGATTTCTGCAATACCCTGTGGCTGTGCTGGGCATTTCCATGTTGTGTTTTACATTCAAGTTTGATGTGTTGGATGTGCTTACTGTACATTAGTTATTGTTTATGATTAATGTAATGCATCTCTTTTATTTCATAAGGTTCTGATTCAAGTGGAATTCTTTGGATTTGTTTGGGCACAGGGTTGATTTTAATACTCACTCTGCTCATCTTAATGGTCTTGTTCAAATGGAAGCACCTAAAGAAAGTAAAAGAAAAACTGGAAAACACAGGTGAATAAATAAGATCCTTCTTCAAATAGTTTTAGATCATTGTACATTTTAGCTACTCTTACCATGTAAAAACATTGTATATATTCCAGATTCTGATACTGTCTTTGTTGGATTGTTCGGTATTCCTCAAATAGTCTCCATGAAGTTATCATGGTTGTTAAGGAATAAATATCCAGATGCTGACTTGCAAAGGCAGCAATTTCTCTTTGTTGGTTCTGGATCCTGTCAGGATTATTGTATTTTCATACCTGGCTTACTTGCTGCTGTTTGAGAAATCATTTACGAACACCCAAAAGCAAAAAACTTTATAAGGGTTTCACCCTCACTGAATGCAAAAGGAATTCTTCCCAGGCAAAGGATACACACTCAACATTAGCTTTTCATTTTATAAGAACTTAAATAATTTTATTTAATACTGTAGTCTGTGAGAAGCATATGTAGTATATTTTGTGAAGATGAAAAAAGTTTTTTTTCCATTTTACAAATACAATATTTGTGAGTTTTCAGACAATAAATAATAACTGACTAGAAAATATGTGTTGGATTACTTCAATACTTATTCTGAAGTAGAGGGTTATATTGTCATAGAACAAAAAATTATCATATGTAGCTACATCTTAAAACTTTCACTATATCTTAAAATTTTCACTGAGGTTAGAACATAGTTGGGCCATAATGAAATTTGGATCTTTAATAGCTCTTTGTTTAGTATAGCATGATGCATGTACTAAATTAACTTCTATATATTTACAGACTCCTCTGTGGAGCCGAATAATATTCTCAAGGCTAATACTGAAAGCAGTGTGAATGCAGAAGAAATTAAACACACACTTCCAAGTGAAACATTAATGTATTCAGTGGAAGAATGCACTTGCAGTGACTGTGGCTTGGTAAAACCTCAGACTGGCCGTGAAACTTCATTTCCATTACCAGCTACTGAAGAACGAGCTACTGTTCTAGTTACCACCAAATCTTTTGATCATTACAACTATGTTCTGGGTGTTGGATGACTGGGAGAGAAATATATTTGTACTGAGTAATAATAAATGAGTTATTCCAGTATAGCTGTTAACCTTAATACTTGCAGTCAGTGGAGAAGGTAGTACATCATCCTTAGAGATCTCCCATTGTGCTTGCATTAATATTGTCACATATTATTTCTAGTTCTAGTATTTCATTAGTCAAGTATTTCTAGGCACTCAACTAGTTACTGGAATTTTTAATTTCAGAAAGTCTTTACATATGGCAGCTTTTTCTGCCTTTAGAGATTGTACCTACTTACAGCAGATATATACAAAATAAACAAGTTTGCAAATATGTATGTCCATGTTAGACTCAGATCTTGTGCCAAAAATTACCTGATGGTACACAAGGACTGTTCCAAGAGGCAGAAATGAAGACGTATGGTACATCCTCAGTCTTGAAAAGAGTAATTTCAACACTTGAAATAGGAATGTCCTAAAGACGAATACCTTCTAGAGTATGGAGGTCCCCGGGTTCAGAAGGTATCACTGGGTCACCCTAAGGGAGGTTGTGGTGCTGGGAGCACAGATCACAGAATGACAGATGTCCTGAGTCAGAAGGAACCTGCAAGGGCCACTGAAATCCAGCTCCCGGCCTTCAGTGCAATCCCTGCAATCCCATGTATCTCCTGGTGGTGCAGGCTTTCCTTTCTTAGCCTGGCGATTTCAGACGGAGGTTTATTTCTCTTTTACTCACTGTTTTTACTTATCCTTGTTATATTTACAAGGATAGGTGATTACTCATGCTGGATTACTCTGTGGCTTAAAATTAGGAATACATTTCTGTCACCTTCCCTTCCAAGCATTAATGCTACTTTCCTAATATTAGGCCGCAATTTTATTCCTGGAAAACTGTAACAACAGAAGCAACAACCACACAAGCAATCACAACAATCGTCTTTATTTGTAGCTAACATTCTACTTCAGGCTCCTGCATGAATGACGAATTAAATATTTCATTGCACGAAATCTACGAATGATTAGTTACAGCATCTTTAGGAGGCTGACACAAAGTTTGGAGCGAGTTGGGAATTAGGTGCTCTGTGTGGTTTCGGCCACACAGGGCCAACACCTCTCAAACAGGCCTAGAGACTTACGAAATTTCTTACTATCATCGCTTTGTTTTTTGTTTTGATTTAACGACCCTTTCCGAGCTTTCACCCCGTACAGCACATGCGGCAGCAGAGGACACTTTATCTCCCCTTTTCTCACCGTTCCTTTCGCGGTGTCGCGTTCCTGCCCCGCAGCTGCCTGTGCCGGGCGGCTCGGGCCGCGCCGGGGCCGGCGGTGCGGGGCCGGGCCGCGCTGAGGAGCCCCGGGCCGGGAAGCGCTCGGCGCCGCTCCCGGGGCCGTGTTCACCTTCCGGGGCGCCGGGCGGGTTCCGGGGCGGGCGGTGGCTGCCGGCCCGGCCGTGGCTGTGCGGGAGAGCGGCGGCTCCGGCGGACGGAGCCCCGCGGGCACCATGAGCGGTGAGTGCGGCCGGGCCGGGCCCCTCCGCGCCGGGCCCGCCGGGCGCTGCGGGGGCTGGCGCGGGCAGAGCGTGCCCGGGGGGCCCGGGCGGGACTGGCACTGCCCTCGTTCCTTCCCCGCTGCTCCCTGGTGCCGTGCTGAGGCACGGGACACTTGGGTCTCGTATCATCACACCCCGCCCCTCATTCCGGCTCCCCGAGTCCCCCCGAAATGGCGTTTTACCCCCTTTTAAATCCTAAATCCTGCCCTTGAGCGTGGCACTGGCTCACGGCACAATTGATGCTGGGCTTGGGCATTTGTGTTGCCTCAGCTGTGAAAAATCATAGGAAATACTCCTGAGGAAATAAATGACCAAGAGAAAATAGGAATTTAAAAAAACTGAACATATGAGCTCAGAAGCATGCAGTCGGTGAGAGGGGTGAGAACCACGGCTTGTGGAAAAAGGGGTCCCTGTTGCTGTGTCCCTCACTGAGTGAGGATGTGTTTGGATGTGGCAATTTCTGTGCTAGATGGAAGTGGTGCGGGGGGTGTGCTAAATCTTGAGGGTAAATGTGTGCTAAATCCTGAGCTTTTTGACGTATTTGTCAAGGAAATACTTGAAGCTTTGCATGAGAACTGTGACCCATAAACTGCAGGAATGAAGGAAGCAGATCCGCTTGTATGGGCCAGCATGGAGAGTTATTTGTTATCATAGAGCTGAAAATTATAATAGACTTCTTGTAGATGTAAAGGATGAGTGGTATTTATTTCATATGTATTAAAACACATTGGCAAGGATTTGTTTGGTGCTTTTTGAGAAGTGAGGTGCTTTAATAAAAACTTTGATTGGTCTCTGTACATCTTCAGCAATGGAAGTTGCAGACAGCACTACACCTGAGAATTGGATCACGTATTGATCTCCCTCCTGATCTAATACATGGTGATCTTTGTTGCCAAAGGCAGTAAGAAAAAAACTGAGGGGTTAACTGGAGTAACTAAATGCTATGTGTTTTATGGGGAGTAGTCATTTCAGAAAATGAACTGAAAAATAAAACCACTTTTATTTTTCTCTGTTTTGTTCTCACCTTTATGGTAGGAAGAAAACAGAAGATTTTTGTGGAAGAGATGAGACAAAAAAAAGATTATTGTGGGGAAGCCTGTTAAAAATGCAAGTAACAGTGAAATCTTTTAAAGCATGGGAAAAGAATTTTTGCATTTCTAAAACGCTTCAGATCTTGACACAGTATAGACTAAATCGTAATTACAAAATTTTTAAGAGTCATCATTTTCATATGGAAGACCTCAGCCCTTCAATAGTGAACTCAAACTGGGAATAGCCTTGTGCAAATTTATGCAAATTACAGCCTAAATCTTCCTAGGAGTCTAATCTTTGAGAGCTCTATTTGGATTCTGTGACTCAAAAGGCAAGGTAACACCTCATGTGGCCTAAAGCTTCACTGTGTAGTTATTTTTATTACCTTTAATTTTTTTTTTAAGACAATGAAAAGAAACATTTAATTACTTGAAATAGAGTAATGGGTGACATTGGCAGTAGTGGTTCGTTTGCAACCACCCATGCATAGCCCCTGCCAAGAATTATAAGGTTTTCCCAACAATTTCGATTACACAGCAAGATAACAAAAAAATTCCCTAACATTGCACTTTGACAAACATTACTGTTACACAATGCTGTACAGTTTTTTTTCTAGAATAATATAAGTCGAACTGATCAGGGAAATAAATATCTATCATTATCATGCTTGGTTCAGATAAAGGTGATGGCATATGCTAACATCTCATCAATTTTAAACATATCCTTTTTTTAGTGCCTGTGACAGCACTGTCTGTACTTATTTCTATGCCCAGTTTTGGCCCTTTTAACTAACAGAGTGTTCCTAAAATATAGATGAAAGAACTTCTTAATGCTATAATTATGTTTTATGTTTATTTTCTTTAGCTACAGTGTATTTCTAGTGGATGTGAGGGTAACTTCCTGTTGATGTAAGCATCACCTTAATATTACTAATGCTGCTTACTAATTACATACTCATATTTTATTGTACAGTGCTGAGTAGGCTAAACTTCAAAGGCAAATAATACAAGGATACAACATTTGTGCCTGTCAGGAATTGGGGGTGTTGTCATTTGTTTAATGACGCTTTCAAAAATCTTAAAAATGCAACTCATGGTGGGGGGATGAGGCAGTAGAATCATAATAATGTAGTATAAGGTAGCATTTAAATTAGGTCTGTGTTTGTTTTATCTTAAATTTGTGCTATCAGAACCTGTATTAGAGCAAGCAAAAGGGATTGCAGTCTGAAATGTTGCATTCAGGACATAAATGCAAGGTATACAAGAGCAATATGAGATAAATTTATTTTACTTATATGCTGCATGTGGTGCTGAAGAGGGCTTTACCTAGGAAGAACTGGATGAAAATCCTACTTTCCTTTACTTGCATGCCAGTTTGCTGCTGCTCTAGGTGTGGATGTTTGTGTCAGAGTATGAAGAGAAGTTTATTTTAAAAATAGGAAAGCATGACCTTGAACAACAGAAAATGAGGAGGGTCAACAGAGGCAGGTGCAGTACCTGAGCCTATTTTAAACCCTTTCTGACTGAGTGTATGTTGGTGGGAGGAGTCTCTTTAAGTTTCTTAGTTTTTGCAACCTTATGTTTTCACAGTTATTTTTAGAGTCACGGAGGAACTTCCTTTTTTACTGCGATTGTCTAAATACAGCCTCTTTCTGAGGAATTCTGTTTTTATGCATTCTATGTTTTTTTAGTTGTATATTTGTTGCTGCAGTTTTTACTGCTATTCTGAATCAGGAGAAGGGTATTTTAGTTAGTTTGTAATACACTGTTAGTCTTTAAATCAGCTGGAGTTGATCACACTTAATTGGTGGTCTTGTCTGAAAATTGCTTCTTTCTTTTTTTCTAAAGTCTTACTTTAGAAAATGAAAACGTGAAAGAACTAAATCTTCAATAGAGTTAATAGAGATTTATTTTTACCTTCCACCTACTTGAAACAAAACCATCACTAAATAGTACCATATTTTCTAGGCCTGTTATACTCAGCAGACTCATTACATGGCCTTATAGCCCTGTTAGTGGTGAGGGTGATCTGAACTGTTTCAGGAGTTATTGGTTGTAATCTCCTCCAGTCGTGATTGTTAGTGCAAATTTACAAGTAAAATAAAGAGAAAATGCACATTGCACTCAGTCAGTGTAAAGTTAAGGTTGTGTGGTATCGCATGCTTTAGTGGTTTAGAACATTAATTAGTATGGTGAACATCAGTAGGAATCTAGCTGCAAACCATTTCTGTTACCAAATAGATACAAAGAGTCCAAAGAGATGTGATTTTAAAAACTCCCATATATTGCATTTGGATGACAAACTTGGCCCACCTACTAATATTTTCATTTGATAGATGTTTTTCTGTTCATGATATTATTAATTGTGTGCATTTGTTCTGATGTTATCTCAAACTATTAATATAAAGAGAAATATTGTGTTATGCCTCTTCTTCCAGGTATGTGGGTAGTGTAAGACTGTAAAAATAATGAGTCTTGAAACAACAGAGAAAATCTGCAGAGTTGTGTATATTCAGTGTTACTGAACATGAAGGGTTACTCTAAAAGTTGGGATTGTTTTCCTTATTTTATGGTGATGTGATTTATTATAAAGCAAATGGATACATAGGCATGTATACATCTCCATTTTGGCAACGTATGTGTGGTAAGAACATTGAATATTGTTTAATAAACTGCAGTCTCTGAAGGAGCATAGTATGAAATGGTAGGGATTATATGAATTTAGCCTTATCTTCACACTGGCATAACTGGCATAGCTGTTAGGAAGTTAAAACCCATTTGGTGTGGGCTTTGTTTCTGGAGTCCTGGACTGGCACTGAACATTGTTTATGTGCACTGGAGTGCTTGACTAACAGTCCCAGACCTCACACATCACATGTCTGCACAGTTTGAGTCAGAGTTCAAAATGGGAAGCACAACTTCTTGAAAATGCACTGTAATCAGCAAAATCAGCATTGGGAAGCTTAGTTAGCAGCTATGTTTGCGCGTTTTTCCTGTTGTTTTCATTATTCTGCCATACTGTGGGGATTTTCTTCTATTTAATGAATATATAAAACTATATGGAATATGAATTCTATTAATATATGTATAGATGAATATGGATTTTTATAATTCATTATATCAGTGTAATGTATAGTTATGGATTATATGAGTATATGTATTTAAGCAAAGGCAGAATCATTTCAACCAGACAAATTCTCTACTGTCCTGCTGCTTTAAAAGCAAACTGTTTTGAATGGGATTATGAAGATAGAAAATTCTGGGATTTGGACCTCACAGTGTCAGATAGCAAGAGGAAGCACATATTTTTGATCATCTCTGTTTACTAGAGGGCTTAGTGTGTGGTGTTTGATTTTCAGTCGGGAGGAATTTGCTCATGCAGAGCTTGGATAATTGGCTTTCAGTCCATATGTACATTGGTTGTATGGTCTTTGAAAGGAGAATAGAATGACTTTAACTCCAGAATGTCACAGAGGTTTCTGATGGATGTTTTGAACTTAAGCTGAGAAGAAAGAAATAACAGAGGCAACGTAGGTTATCTACAAGAATAAATTTTGCCATATTCATGGGAGTTTATAAAGGATGTTCCAACAAGCAAAGTATTATGCTATTGTTGAAATAGCTTGAGAAGTTAGAGATTGTCTTGCATAGTTCCTTATATAGTAACAAAATAGATTTTATAGGTGTTAATCAGAACAACTATGCTGGTATTTAAATTTTAGGGGCTTTATTGTAACAGTTGCTCTCTGTTCACCTGACTGAAAACTCTTTCTGCAGTAAGGTTTGACAGTAAGATACTTCTGGTGTCTCATTCTTGTTTTCCATTCTTTTCTAGTGCAGTGATGCTGTACTACACTGGTAGTTGTACTAAGAAGCTCAGGGCAAGCTGTGCATCAGCTTGAATAATGATTCTGTATTTGGTACTGGTGAAATATATCTTCAAAATATTACTAAAACAAGAATCTAGATATTTGAAACAGTATTGCTGCCTGTTAGAGAAAGGCTGCTTGAAACCTCAAAGCATAGTTCATACTGCATCATTTTACTTAGAGAAAATACATTAGTTAATTTAGTGGAATAGATGACATGGGAAGAAAGTTTTCAGGGCCCAAAAGAAAGACGTTTGTGTTGGCCCAAATGTATTAAAAAAAATTATTTTAAAATTATATGATTTTGTTGGATTTCAGGTTCACAGAGCAATGACACTAAAAGACAATTTCTTCTAGAACGGCTACTGGATGCAGTTAAACAGGTGAGAAATCAAAAAATCTGACACACATGCAGTGGCTTACTCAGAGTTGCACTACTAGCAAGGGCTGTCTTTGCTTTCTCTTTACCAAAGGAAGGAAAAATAAGAAAAGGAAACAAAGAAGAAATCGTGGCTTTCATATAGTACAACTGGGTTTTTGTCTGCTAGCAAACAACTGCTGTGCAGTATTTATTTAAAATTCTTGTTCTGGACAAGTCGTATTTGTAATAGATCTATTTTAAATATATGTAATACTATAGAATATATATTAGGAATATATGTTCTTGTAATCCTGATATGACTGAACTAAATTGCAGTGTACTGCAAAGTCTTAGTTAACATTTTAGAGTAGCAGCTTCTTTTCTTTGCACTAGATTTTTAGTGAATGGTTAAAATATATGTAAAGATGTGATTTATATATGTATGTCTGTATTTGTGTCAACGTGAAGTTCAGCAAGTACAATTTAATAGACTGGAGTTAATTTGGGAGAGCTTGGGAGGCAAAAGAATGCCTCAGAAGTAAGCCAGTGAAATGTTTTATAAAGAGTGGTTCTGTAATTGTAGCACTGACCTGGGTAGGAGCAATGTTTGGTTTTGTGGGTACACATTTAAAACTCAAAAGTAGTAATTTCCACTCAGTTTTCAATTTACTGAAGGACCTGCAGGTGTGTTGCTCTGGCTAGCAAGGATATATTTGAACTGCAAGAGCAACCCATTAGTGTAACATGATGCTGTAGAACATTTTTTGGATGCAGTCTGTGTTTTGCAATGCTCTATTTTGTGCTGTTTCCTTTTTTGTTTCATATATAGAAATAATTCAGAAAGCTGAATTTATTTAGCGTAACAAAACATTCTGAAAATTATTTAAAATCTGTTTATTGCAGTGTCAAATACGATTTGGAGGAAGAAAAGAAATTGCTTCAGACTCTGATAGCAGGTAAAATAGTCTAAGATTAATATGCTTAGATTTTGCATCATAATGACATAAAACATGGCACAAAATATTTGACATGCTCAAAAAATTACACTGCATGAAAAGTGGGAGATCTGAAGCTGAAATAACATGATTAACAACTCCTCTAGCAGGTGAGGGTGATTTCTCAAATTGATTGCCAATTCTTCTGAATATAACCTGTGCTTCAGCTTTCAGTCATTATGATGAGACTGTGGGTATAAGTAGATTATACTGCTTGCAAATAATGAGATTACTGTATAGAAGGGATCTTTCACTGCTTACAAGATAATGGTTCACTTTACATTCCCTATTCAGAGATCTCAAATAAACTTGCTGTATAGAAACGTAGTTGATTTTCACTATGATTTCTTCATAGTTCCTTTTACATGAGTTCATTAAAAATTCTGTTGCAGAGTGACCTGTTTGTGTGCTCAGTTTGAAGCTGTTTTCCAGCATGGCCTGAGGAGGAGCCGGGGATTGGCACTGACAGCAGCAGCAATCAAACAGGCAGCAGGTTTCTCCAGCAAAACTGAAACAGGTAAGTTGCTAATTGTAACTATCCTCTTTTAATTAGTTCATATGTTCAGTCAAGTGGTTCAATTTCTAATAGGAATTTTAAGCATTGCACCAAACTGCAGATTGTTGGTAGGATACTTCACACTTGTGTTTAGAAGTAGCAGTGAAAATGACTGTTGCTTCTTAGTCTAGTTTAACTTGCACTCCAAGTTTCTCTGGAAATATTGCTCTTAGGAAATCTGCACTTCCTACTGTTGCATTGTGTATAGTGGTAACTTTATTTTGAATTCTGGTAGGGATCAAGGTTGTGTAATTGTGCTGTTAAATTTTTAAACCAACGTTTTCATTCTTGACCTTGTCTTACTCATTTCTTTAAATCCTGTCTTCTATATGTCAGATGTGTTTAACTTCTAATTATTTATGTAATTTTAGAAAGAAAAGTTATATTGGTTGGGTTAGTTTTTATTACTTTCTCCACATTTAAAGAAAAGATTCTTTTACTTTTCTCTTCACAATGATGTTTCTCTTTTTTTTAACCAGAACTATATGAAGATACTGATCAGTTTTTATGAATATTTGGGAAAAGCACAGAAAAAGTGTTTTAGTGGAAAGAGATATTGTTGCCATTTAAATACAACATTTCTGTTTTCTAAAGTAATATGAATTTGTCATTTGCATGTCTGCAAATTCTGGAGCTACCTGTTCCTTTGGACCTGCTTTCCAACATTTCACATCAGCAGTGACATAGAGTTCTAAAGAAATCTTTTCCCTTCCATAATATGTTTCCAGTTGAACATATGAACTTGTGGATAAAATACTAGCTTAAATGTGCTTTTAAATGTGAGTTCTAGGTAAAAGTGTCAGATCAAATCCTTTAATTTGTGTGGTTTTTTCAATGAAGTGAAAAGTTCTGAGTGCTTAAATAGCCCGAGTTCTGTAGGAATAAATAATCTATTTAACTGGTGGGTTGCACGAAGAAGGTAAATGATTCACCTTGTTCAAAGTTATATTGTTTCTTGTTTGTTTTATAAATTTACATGTAAATGTATTCAGGTATGAGCTTAGTGGCTTTCTTGGTGGGGTGGTTGTCATCATTATTAATCATTAAATTCCAGAGCCAGTGTTCTGGTATTATGTGAAAGAAGTGCTGAACAGACACGAGCTGCAGCGCTTCTACTCTCTGAAGGCCATCACCACAGACATTGGCAGGGCCCGGGCCTGGCTGCGCTGTGCTTTGAATGAGCATTCCCTGGAAAGATACGTTCACATGCTGCTGGCAGATAAGAATCGCCTCAGGTACTGTGTGTGATCCCTTTGTAATGCAGGAAGTGTAGTGACAAATGAAGCACTGTCTGAAACCCAGGCAACCAACCAGAAGCCACAGCTGTAGTAGTACCCCATATTAATTTCTATGCCTGTCAAGTCACTTAATTAAAAAAAAAAAAATTGTCAGCCATTGAGACAGTGGCTTGTGCCTGTATCAACATGTGATTTCTTCCCTAAATCCATTTCCTGGTCTTTCAACAGTTTTCCACACTGGAACATGGACACCATACTTTAAGGTGCCTCTGTGGTTCCACTAAAATAGTACACAACTGAAGCTGTGTGTGATCAATTCATCAGTGGTAATTGCCTCTGGAGATGCTCATCCTGTAATTGCAAAGCTCCAGCAGTGCAGCAGCAATGGGGAGCTGTGGCTGCAGAACTCTGGGAAGTTGTTTGGTAGCAACAACTACTAGTTGTTAGTGAACCTTTTGTTACAGTTACTGAGAATAACTTACTACAGGTGGTGAAATGCTAAAGTACTTTGGAAGTGCAAAATGCACTTAAGTTGATAAACTGAATCCTGCCTTTTTCTCATGTCTTCAACTCCTTTTCTTTATGAAAACTTGAGATGTTTTCCTTTTTTATCAATAACTGTTGAGCTTGCTCAAACCACTTGATCAAGTCCAGTGGATTCAGCAGAAAGGCATTTTATTCATTTGCATTGATTAATGGATCTAGTGCCTAAGATTATTGCCCGAACTGAGTTAATTAGTACCGTCTTTTAATTTCTAGTTTGTTCTAGTCCTCTGTAGCTTTCTTGCAAAACAGATTTTGAAGAAATCAAATAAAGATAAATGAAATAAGGAAAAAGGTCTGGAAACCATTAGGAGATTAGTGACTTGGATTGCTATGTTGCTAATTATTCTCATGCTTGTAGCAATAGTTGCATAGTATCATGATTATCAGCACACTGCATTGTAATTCTATTTCTAAAAAGGCCTATTCCAGAATTTTTAAGACTTAAATGTTACCCAGATTCCAATGGGATTTACAGAGTCAGTTTACATCCCCAGTTAAATGTTTTGGAAACTCTGTTTAATTAATTGAATGTTGATAGTAAAAATATAGCATTCTGCTACTAGAAAGTACCAGACTTAGAACAACTAAATGTATGTGTTCACCATGAAAAAGTGTGTGGTTTTTTTCATCCAAATTCACAGTTTACACTAACTATTTAGAGTAATTGCTGTGGTTTAGATATTGAAACAAGTCACAGAATCACAGAATATTAGAATTTGGTTTAGAAAGGACCCTTAAAGATTATGTTGTCCAACCCTCCTGCCATGGACAGGGACTCCCTCCACCAGAGCAGGTTACTCAAGATAAAGGAAACACTTTTGTTTGTGTTCATGTGTTCTAAGTTTGTACAAAACATGTATAGCAATAGGTATAGAAGGATGCTGTGACTGCTAATACAGTGTGAGCCCCCAGGCCCTGAGTGACTTTTTTCCCCTAAAAAAGTGCAGAGCTAAAACTAAAGAAAAAAATACTCTTTAGAATGTCTTTTTAGAATCATCTGAACAGTTACCAATTTCAGAACTACAGGTAGTTACTGTGCCACAAAATTTAGTCCTTTGGAGTGCTCCAACTTATTCTTTAGAGTTTTCTTGTCTTTCAGAAGTGAAGTATATGTTACTATAGGATTGCATGTCCTTTTTTTTTCCCCTTAAAATTACAGTGTCTTCTATGAAGACTGGTCCTTTATGATGGATGAAGAACGTTCCAGTATGATCCCTACAATGGCAGCTGGTAAAAATTTCTCTTCAGTATAACTGCTCTTGGAAAACTACTGCATTTTGGGATGTTACATCTGTTTCTGGTTGTGAGGAGCTTCTCTAATACACTCTGTTTATGTGGAGAATGTATGTCAGAGGCACAACCAGGGTGAACATTCAAGGTATTATGCCAATTGATGCTATTAAATGATGGATTGTTAAAATCCTGGATCTGGACTTCCTACAAGTCAAAAATCTTGCACATAAATTTTTATCTCTTCAGCAGTCAAGACTAGCTTAAAACCAGTGCAATTTAGAGAAAGCAAAGTAGGTTATTCCTGACTAGAAAAGAGTAATGATGGAATTTTATAGTAAGGTCCAAATTGCAGATAAATACAGGTAAGGAGAGTAAGAGTAAGAATGATAACAAATAATTTACTTTTCTAGAGTTCAGTCACAGAAACATTATTACCTTTTATACCCCTTTTCTCAGATACATTATCACATGCTTCTTTCTGCAAAACAAGGTTCATGGGCGTTTTTGCTAATAGACTGTAGGAACCAACGAACACTAAAGTTGCAGTGAAATGGATTTAAATAAAAGGTTATAAATAAATGAGTTTACAATACTTTATTATTTAATGTGCAGCTGAACAGCCATCAAGAAGAATTCAGAACTGATTGCATCAACTTGAATATAATCTAGAAAGGATTGAATGGTACATGAAAGAATAGGAATTCATGCATTGGGAACTGTGGGAAATTTTGGGAAAAAATTTTTTTCTATGTCATAGCTTTGTTAATCCTTAGCTTCAATGTTCATAACTTCCATGTGAAGTATTTGGTACATTTGTGGTCTCTTTTCCCCCTTTCTTTTATCTGAAGGTCTGAACTCCATTCTTTTTGCTATCAACATTGATAATAAGGATTTAAATGGGCAGAGCAAATGCACACCCACTGTGTCAGATTTGTTAAAGGAATCCACACAAAATGTAACGTCGTTATTGAAAGAGTCCACTCAGGGTGTGAGCAGCCTCCTCCGGGAGATCACTGCCTCGTCTGCAGTCTCCATTCTCATAAAGCCTGAGCAGGACTCTGACCCACTGCCTGTTCTGTCCAGGAATGTCAATGCTGGTAAGCTTTTATCAATGTTACTGCCATTCAGAAACTTAGAAAATATTCAAGTGTGTTTAAATAACCTTTTAATTGTAATGCGCTATTGTAGAGGAGAAGGCTTAAAAATAAGTGCACTGTGCATATGAACCAGTTGAGTGTGTAATTAAAAAGCATGAAATTGGAAATATTAGGTGTGAATACTGGTTGGTAACTGTATTTCAGCATTCTTGTATCACTGTGAGAGGGAGGCTAAATTGTTTTATTGGTAGTGTTTTGCTTGTGACTTGAATTTCAATTTCTTGTTCATAAAATTATGCTTTGAAGTTTGTGTTGTAATGATTTTTCATTTTTAATGTCTTTTGACACCTTGCCAGTGGGACATACAGTGACGTTTATCTTTTGTTATATATCAGATGCAAATTTTAGCTTGTAATCTCCTTCAAGTGGTGATTGTGTTTACAGTCTGAATTCCTATGCAAAGCAGATAATTGCCAAAATGGAAATTTACTCATACACTCTTCACCTTTAGAGCTGTTGGTGTTACAACCATTTTGTATGATGTTAGTTACTAACAAACACCCAAAGTCTTAATCTCTTATTATTTGAAATCAGTCAAGCAAAATGTGATTTTCATTATATATTTTTTGTTCCAAAATTAACAAAGTAATATTTTATTATCTTTGTTTCTGGAAGTTGAGCTAAAAGTTTGTTTTGCTTTGTAAAAGTAGAAAACTGCAGTAAGATTTATGTACTTTCAATTAAGAAACAAGGTTTGAGTTTAGGCAATGAACTGTTTTGGTTTGAGAAAAAAAGCACGAACCCCACATGAGAATCTGGTAGGAATAGAAATTGAGATAAAATCTGGTTTTTATTTGGATTTAAAATAGACTTTGTCTTAAAACACAGTTTTCAGAACAAACTTGTGGTAAAGGTTTTGTAGTGTAGCACTTAAATGAGATTAAAATCATAGGTGATACTTGACTTGAGCTAACTTTGTTAGTATAGAATAGCCTTGCAAGTTGAAATAAGATGCTAATTGACCATATGGTGCATATGACTCCACAACATGATGCACCTGATGTGACAGCACATGTGCATACAGAACATGAAAGGTACAACTTCTAATGAAATGTCACTTTGAAAAACCTGACTTTGTTCAAATGCAATTATATGTTGAACACTAGATCAACTCAGATATTTTCACTAGAGTCTGTATTCTTTGCTGGAATTCTGTTTGCAACCAGAATGGGTTTTAGCATCCTTTAAAAAGTATGTTAGTGTGTTTTGTGGATATATAACAGCTGGACTTGAATTAAATAAAGCAATTTGGTCCCAGTGTGAGGTGTCTTGGTGAGTAATTTCTGGTATTTCTTGGAGTGCTTCAGCTTTGCATTTAGCTTCATGTGCATATCAGATTCAGTGAGAATAGGTAATAATGTAAAAATAAGTGCTGTCACTGAATACATCTGGTGTAATCGGAGAGAATTTCAGTGTATTTCCAGACCAAGACCTAATTAGCTGAAAACTGACTGTTTTAGAATATAGACAAAACTATTTGATTACAGGTTGTGGATTTTGTTCATGTTGTGGAGTTTTTTCGTTTCAGTTTTTTTTCTGAAAGTGCTTCATGTTTTCTCTGTTGTGCAGACCTGCTCTGCATTATACACTAGGTGTAGTCTGTGGGACAAAGTGACAAGAAGGCTAACTTTTTATTTTAAATTTAATTTCATGGGTTTGTAGAACTTTTTTCCAGTTTCAATTGAATCATGTTATGAATGCATCTCCAAAATATCTTCTAAAATCTGAATTATATAAGGCAGATAAAATAAAGCTGGTAATTAACGATTTAAAAGCTTATGTGTATGGAAAGACAATGAATGCCATGTAGATGTAAGTGGCTTTTTCTCGACTAGAGTAATTTAGTACATGAGCTCTTTTATTTCTTTTCTAAACTGTGTAAAACTTTGTATTGCTACTAGATTTGAAATACAAAAAAGATCGAAAAAAGAAGAAGAGAGTGACTAATATTATTTCATTTGATGAAGAGGAAGACGAGCAAAACTTGGGGGATGGCACAAAGACTCTGGTTACAGGAGAAAGTTCAGAGGAGAGTGTAGACAGATCTTCAGTTCTTGCATTGTCCTCATCTGAAAGCACTCTTGGAAAAAATCTGAATGGGAGTGAAAGTAACCATTCGTGGAAGAGCAATTCAGTATTCATGAATGGAGAGTATGAATACCAGAAACTGGATGTGAAGAGCATTGATGATGAAGATGCAGATGAGGATGAGCTATATGGAAAATCATTAGGAAATAAAGGCACAGGGGGTGGAACTGAAGCTTCTGAAAAGTAAGTATTGGTGCAGGTGATAGTGGTAAACTTTCCATGCTTCCCCTCCACCCCTCCCTTTCATTTATGGGTACTGGCAAATTGATGTGTTGAAGTGAGCTATAGATTTTCTTTGTTTTTTCTTTTACTCTCTCTATTCCTCTTCCCCCACCTTTTTTTTTTTCTTTATTTTTTTTTCCTTTTTACTGTTTAAAAAATATAGGCCACTCCAGTGGTGATATTTTGCTTCTAAGTTTCACTGAAATCCCAAATTTTGAGATTTCAGACTTGTTCTTCTTGAAGTTCTCAGCTATTAAAACTGTGGCATAATATAGCCAGGCTATAATTGTGACCTGCTTGATGTTTCCTTATTCTTAGTATGATAGCAAATCTATTTTGGCTTTGCAATAAAAATGTGTGTTTTAAACAGAGTAAGCTTGTTACATCAGAGTGTAGATGGTTCAACAATGCAGGAAAAAACTGAGAGAGAAAGAATAATTTTAGATATTAATATGCTTTCTTTATTTTTGACAAAAATTAATTTAGAGAAAAAGGCAAGCACTGCTTGTCTCATCTGCTTTGGAATGTCTGGTCTTTAATGAATTAATGTATAGCTGACCTAGAAATTGGCAGACAGAGTGAAATAAAGATTTTTCTTGCAGTGGTATCTCTAAGAGAAATATAAACATTGTGAACAGTAATGCTGGCTGCATAAATAGATTGGTTTGTTTGTTTGTTTGTTTGTTCTAAATAGGCCTCACGAAATAGTCACATGCAATTCTCAGATATGCAGCTGGAGTCCTCTGCAGGTCCTGAATGATGACTCAGATGTTCTATTTCCTGTCAGTGCTGTTGGCTCTTACTCCCAATCAGGTGAGCATTTGAATTCATGGAATTTCAGCAACCTTTATTCTAACATGGGACAGTGGTATGAAGTAACAGGATTGTAAAGACACAGGAGATACTGCACAACTGGGATAAAAAGTTCAATTCAAATTTATTCTAGTTCTGAATCAGAGTTCTCCATTAGAGTAGTTACTTAGTTAAGGGGGAGTTGTCATTGTCAAAATAAACCAATTTCATTGAGATTTAGCTTGGTCTTGTATTTTATCGAAGTTTTTTTTTAGGATAGTTGTATAAAAAGTATCCATATCCATATTCTAGATACCAGTAAGCTGCAAGAAGCTCCAAGTGTGTTTGAGAAGTTGAATTCAAATTTCTGTTGACAGATTGGAGAGCAGCTGGAAGCAGTTCAATAGAAGCTGTTAACTGTTGAAATACAGGATAAGGAATGACTGACTAGGAAATACTTGCTCAGAAAAGGATATGGGAATCTTAGAATGGTTTGAGTTGGAAGGGATCTTCAGAGATCATTTATTCTGAGACTGGCTGGCTGAGCTGTGAGCACCAGCTGCCAGCTCACATCTAATTTTTCACATGTCAGTATCCTCAAATAGTTTCCTGCAGGTTACAGGCTGATAGTGAATTAGCAGAGCTGTTATTTGTAAATGTAAGCTCCATTGGCTCTGCTGTGGCCTCAGCTGCAGAATTGTATGCAGTGAGGGGCACTTCAAAAATGATGTAGACCATTTGAAGCAAGCAATAAAAATGGTCAGAGGAATGGAAAAGAAGACCTGGTGTTTTTACAGTATCTGTATTAATACCAAAAACAAACAAATTCCACCAGCCCTCTCCTTTTTCTAGCTGTTCATAAAACACTGAACTTTGGGTATACTTGTTTCAGTGATCATTTAAAAACTCCTCAGTGGTATTCAAATAATGTTTTAATTGTAGAATATTTCATGTTTTTTGCATACACATTAAATGTCCAAGAGTTTAAATGGATTGTTGATTGAAGGCCTGTGAAAAAGTGTAATTCAGTTGTGTAACTTCAGTGACAAAATGTGAATCATAAAATAATGCTGCACTGCCCTCTGCTGTATTTTAAAATATATACCTCATAAGAAATACCAGTGGTTAAAAAAAGAGAAAAAAGGACATTTTAAATTTTTCCTTGTGCTGCCATATTTTTCAATTTATGAGGGAATGGATTTAGAAAACCTTGAGTAGTTTGTGGCATTGTGGTTGCTTAAATGTAAACCAGAAACTTTTGTGGAGCATCCACCGGTTGAAATCTGGAATACAAGAATGCATTCCTGTTTATGGGGAGTGGTGTGTGGAATGGGAACTCCCAGTTGCTGTCAGTAGGTGTCACAAGGCATCAGGAGCATGAGCTGGGGATTTTTGAGATCAAAAATCAGGAGTGCAAGCCAAGACTTAGTTCTGGAGGCAGATGACCGAAGAGGACATCTGTGTATATCTGTGTGCATCTTATCCATAGCTGTCCCAGGGGCTTGCTCTTGCTAAGGAGACACCAAAGCCCCTTGGTTTGTGTTGCTTCATCTCTCAACTGTTTTGAATGTAATGCTTAGCCTACTGGAGATGATCAACAGGTCCATTCAGATCCCTTCTGGGCACAGGACAGATACTTTCAGTTCTCCTTCTGTCCCTCTTTGTCATGATGCAGGGTTGGGCTGCTGAAAGGCAGCAGTTTATCAGTGCTAGGAAAGCCCCCAGACCCCTCTGCCTGCTCCCCTGGTCTGAGCTCTCTGAACAGGAGCTGCTGCAGAGTGCAGGGAGGGCTGCACTAAGTGCCCATTGCACAGCCCAGTGCCAGCCAGCCAGGGACAGGGATGCACATGGATCCAGGCCCCCTCTCCTCAGCCACACTGACAAGCTGCTGAGATTGAAAGCTGCCTTAGGCACTGGCTTGCTTGACTTTGGGAGTTGCACTTGTGCTGGATGAATGATGTCAGAAGGAACATGCATTAGCTTATTCTGAGGGCAGTCCAGCCCACTAATGGCAAGCTCATTATTATCCTGATATTTTTGTTAAAACATCCTTAATGAGTTCTTATAAAATAGTTTAACTCAATATTTTGGTTTATAGGTCTTAATACCAATAAATAACACACACACACACATATATATTTGAAATAGCATAATCTATAGTGTTGTAAGTTAGTACGTGTTTTCAGTATTAATCTGTTGCAGTGCTCCAGGGATGTGTCAGGGCATATCATATCTCCATGTAACTAGAAATGAGAAAGCCTCCATCAAAATGCAGCTGCTTGGAACAAAAATGGAGTATGTATTTTAGGAATTGAGCTTCAGTAAACTCTACAGCTTCACAAATAAATTTTCTCCTCCATAGACTTTCTGACATAACTCTATTTCCCATTTACTTATTTTCTAGAATTTCTGCGTTTTAAATCTGTTCTATTTAGGATTGTCTTAGAGTAACTTTGTAGCCCTTATGTAGTGAAATGCAGAGCACATCAATAAAACATGATTTTTGTTTGTTTCCACCTGAGCTTCCTTAATGACAGGCTCAGTGATGTGGATGTTTTGTTGCCGACAGTTGTGGATCTGTGGACAGATGCGCATTATTCATGCTTTTTAAACAATATCTCATCTGTCTGATTCCTGATGCTTGGCACAGAGATGGAAGGAGTCAGAGAAAAGCCATGGTGCTCTGTTGGGAATACAGAAAGCACTGGTGTCTTTGCAAGGTTTCATGTACTGGAGACTAACCACAAATTCTTCTCCTGCAAGTCACAACCAGATTTGTAGTGAGCATGAGGTGTCATGAGGTGCTTCAATTCCGGGGGCTTGTGCAAGTCACTTCAGGAACAAGTGTCCTCATAGCTTTGCAACTCTGTGCAGATCAAATATAATTTAGGAATTGTGCAATAGTAGTTTCTTTATGATGGCTGTGTTCCTGAGTCTTGACAATCCTGCTGGCATTCAGGGTCAATTTGCAGAAGCCGACTTTGGAGACAGACTTAAAAGTGTTTGAAAGCTTTAGCAAGTTGAGTTTTCTGTTTAAAAATGTAACTACCTAACTTCTGGATTTATGTTTTTATTTTATTTTTGAATAATGTAATCCAAAGGAAGCTAATGCTGGTGCATTCTACTTTAGATAACTTGGAGAATGGAGAGGAGCATGAACATGCTGTTCATCCAGTAGAACTGGTTCCAAGGAGATCTGATCTTCCTTACAGGTATGTGCCAAATATGTTTGTCCTAAAAGAAAAAAACCTTCACCTTGTAGCTGCCAACTTGTTGTTACCTAATATACTTAGTACTGTAAAACCAGCTACTCATCATGGTACTATGTATGTGTTTAGAAAGATAGATGCAAAAAACCTACAATTGCCTTTTTTGCATACTTTCATACACGGAACTTTTCCTAATTATCTTGAAGAAGTCACTTTGTCATGTCAAATAACAGACATGGCTTCCTGGTTTTGTAAATAGGTTTTACATTGGTTTTTATGATATTTTCTTGCTGTATTCTCCATGGCCTTTTAATTTGGAAATTTTGTGTCTGCTTAAATCAGACTTCTGGGAAATACATTCAAGAATTGTTCAGCATATTTTGATTAAATATGGGTGAATAGGATAACAATTCTTGTTTCTGGAATGCTTTTTTCTTAAGTTTTGAATTCAGGATTTTGTTTTCATATATTGATAATAATGTGCTTTTATTACTAGAGTGGAAGTCAGTCCTGCAGCTCAAGTGAATACTTTAAGCAATATGTTGCCTTCAGCCACTGTGCCAGAATCCATGACAATTAGTAAGTACTTCCTTGGTGAATCTAGATTGATGGAAATAACTTCAAAAGTCCTGCAACTCTTTCTATTTTTGTTTCAATAAAATCTGCTTAGAGAGTCATAGAGCACTTAATTTCTGATGTGCTGGTCATGTTAGTAATAACTGCTCTAAAATGATGTTTGCATTAGCAGGTTATGCTTCATTGCAGCTGATATATCCTTATATTAAATGAGACTTCAGTAGTTAAATGAAAAATAATGATTTGGTTAACATCTTAGAATTTCTACGAGTTCTGAACACACTGAGGGTTGATTCTGATGAAGTCTTGCTTATTTTGCCTGTTTTCAGTAGTGGCTAGTCAGAAACAAACAAACAAACTCCACTCTTTCTGTGGTTTTGATATGAAAATCTGCTCCAAACGTAAATATGGGCTTTCATATGCAAAAACTTGAGTTAAGATTAAGGGGGAGGACAGTCGTGTTTCAGTGGTAATAAGAGCAGAGCTAGACAGGTTAAAATAGTCTGCTGCAGAGGTAGATTAAGAGAAGCAGAGGCAGTTTGTTTATCACATATTTGATGTTTTTTCTTTGCATACACTTGTAGAACAAAGACTTAGTTCTTAAACTGAGTGTCTGAGCTTGTAAGCAAGTATGTGTTTATATTCCTCACTGTACAGAATGTTCTGTAACTGAACTGGCTTAGTTCCTAAAGCTCTTGGGTGTGTTTGTTTCCTCTTATAAATTTCAATATGTACAAGTTTTAAATTATGACATTTGGGAAGTTAGAAATGATGCAGCCAAGATTCTTTTCTGCAATTGATTAAAGCAATCATCAAAATGAATGAAATCTTAAGATATTCTTATCTCATTTTCTAAAGTTATATTCAAATGCTGTATCAACCTGTGTTAAAGGAGATAAAAGAAGCATTTTCACTGGGCAGTGTTTCAGGCTCTGGCACTGGTCTGCTGACTGAGCTTTACAAAGCTGAAAAATCTTTTCTTTCAGTACGTCCTGAAGTGACAAACTGGTTTGAGGCTTCCAGGAGCCATAATTGAAGTGTGGAATGAACTTGCTGGTGTTAGCTACAGTGCTACTTTGGTCACTAGATATTTTCTGCTGGTGTTATTCCTGCAACATCCTTTTGTTGTTATTTATTTCTCAGAGACTTGCACAGGGCAGTTTTCTGGTGCTCCTGCACTCTGTTGGTTCTGCTGTTTGTAGGGGAGTCGGGTACCAGCAGGGGCCGCAGTTGGTCTCCTTCAGTTGCTCAGTTATTCCCCAGTGTAGGTAAGACAGCTAGAAAATAGAAAGAAAATCTGGAGAATTTCAATTCTCAATACTTAGAAATTTGTAAATGGAATGAAAACACAGGATCAACAGAAGCATGCACACTATCATTAGTCTCCCAGTTCAGAGAAGGCTTTAGTGAAAGGAAGGGTGGGAAGCATATCAAACCCAGCTATAAAGCCAGTAGAACACCTAGTAAATAATCATAATTATAATCAGAATTCAGCTGACTATACATTTATAGAATTAGGTAATACCTTTATAATAGATGATCTTGGGTATTTTGAATAAAAATGCTTTTTTCAAGTTTGTTATTAGTTGTAGGTTCTCTACAGGAGGAATTCAGTGCTATGACAAAGTCAGACAGTGAAGCTCTTTCTCTCTATTGCAATTAGCACAAGAATTATTAAAGGCTGAGGCTCATAGCTTGGTTGCATAGCAACTGATTGTAACACATCAGGCAAGAAAAATGGAATGCAGTAGTGCAGTGAGAAAAGCTGTGAGGTCTCCAGTGACTGGATTTTTGTTTTTCTTACTTCTGAAGACAAAGCCTCAAATGGACTTTTAAAAAATTATATTTTTTCCTGATTTTGTTCCAACCTGTTGGTATAGTACAAAACTTTTCTTACTCCTTTTGATATAAGGGCTAGAAAGTTATATTATGAGAAGCTGTGATTTAAAATTTCTGCCATTTAAAATTATTTTCCTGAATTATGTCCCATGCATTTCTAAGGGATAGGTTAACTTAGCAGTAGATACATCTCAAAGAATACTAATACCACTCAAGGGAAATCCACAGAGCTTTGCTGTTTATGTCAGGCATAATTTGAAAACTGGCCCTGCTTTGCAGATTGTTTTGTCATGACTAAGTTTTTAAAGAGTTAAGCTGGTTAGAAGTTTTCTATTTATGCATCTACTCTACTATATAATTTTCAATTTTTAAAAAAGTTGTCTTTATCTTATTGTACTTGAATCACAACCAAAAGTATTTCAACAGTTGCTATTGGAAAACTGTACTTTCAGCATTGTTTTTCACCAGAACAATCTGTCCTACCAGCACAAATCTCCCCATTTTGTTTTTGCAGTAAAAAGAAAAATAAGTTCCAAAACTTTCATTTTAGAAGGACTCTACTTGTGTTCTTCTTTACAAGGTCCTTTTATTATAGTACTCTTTATAGGAATTAATTGGTAATTTAGTTTTTTCACTAACATTTTCTTCAGTTTTTAAAATTTGGCTTAACCACAAAGGTTAGGAAAGATTGTAACATTGTATATAATTCCATATTTTTTCATATATTCTTGAGAAATCCCCAAGCTTTTCATGATCACTGAAGAACTTTACTGAGTAATCAAACCTCCATGCTATATTTTTATCCTGGTTGTGTCAATAAATAAGGTGCATGTTTTTGTGCTGTGTCCTGTAAATAGCTGCTGACCTGTTCTATAACCCAGTTGCCACAGGTCACTGGCAGGTACTGAACTCTTTTGTTTCCTTTGAAAGCACAGCTGTGAAGGGAGGGTGTTTGTATTTCATCAGGGAGAGGAAAGCTGCAGTTTACTTTACAGACTTGATTTTCACCAGGAATCTTCTATACAGTAGAAGGCCAACACAATTTGTTTCCTACTAAAATTTGCCCTGTGAATAGTGACATGACAGGATAATATTTACAAGATTTTTGAGCACTAAATTAAGTCTTAAGAAGCAGTGTTCATGTAGGTAGCTTAGGGAGCATCAAGCTCCTTTATGTCTTTAAAGGTCAGATTTCTGATTTAAGATGTAACTAGTCTGCTGGAAGTCTTATTTGTCTCTGAAAATATCTATGTAAATTTTCACTCATGAAAATAAAATAAAAAAAAAAATTCCTATAAACTGCTCCCAGCCCACCCTGATATTCTATCTGCAGGATTGCAGAGGAGGCTGCATGACCTTGTGTACTCTGAGGGATGATTTCACTTACAGCTCATTCTTCACAACAGGTGATTGCAAATCAGACTTCTCCAGTCTTTGGCTAAATAGCAGAAGAGTTGTGAAACTTAGGACTTTTCTGGAGGTTGCTGGAAACTGGCAGGTGTTTCTCAAAGCATTATATATTTTATACTGTGTGACCTTATGAAAGCTTTCTAGCAGCTAGATTTTGTATGAAGTGGAATTTAAAAATGTTTTAGAGCAAATATTCACTTCATGAGTGATTAGGCACCACAGATTAATTTCAGCAATAAAAGAATATTGTTAATGTTGTAAAAAGTGAGGTTTAATATGAAAAATTTAATTAGTACATTGCTTGATTTTTCTATTATCTTCTTTTTTTCTGATAAGGAATAGTTTGGAATTATTGGTTTGTACATGAGAATTATTTTTTAAGAAGTTGTTGGAAAACTATCTCTTGGGAAAAAATTCATTAGTTATCATCTTATCTCTGTCTTTATGGAACTCAGATAATCACTTTACTTTTAGATATGTTGGTGTTGAATGCTGGTCCTTAGTAACAGTATTGCCTTTCATTAATATTAATTTACAGAACACAAATGTCATCAAGCACAAAACAGCTCAGAAATAGGACATAAAGTCTAACATCAAACACTTCTCTGAAGTAGGAATACTTGGCCATCCTCCCACTGCTTTATTAAAAAAAGTAAAGAAAAAAAAAAAGGGGGGGGGGGGAAATATTGAGGTTGCACAGTCCAGAAGTCAGAAAATACCAATTTTATGGTTGCTGCCACAACCTCGACGTTTAAAAAAAAATTATTCCCTTTTCTAACCCACACAATGCATGAGCCAGAAGTCTGCTGGAAAAATTAGGTTATGATCATACACTCATCTTGGAGGCAAGTGTAACAGACAGACAAAAGCTCGTGAACTGGGGATGTTCTGGCAGGTTTGAAGGGAGCCTGCTGCAGTGTGTGATACTGGATTTCTTTTGCATTCAGCTGACTGCTCTGACATGCTGCTGAAATTTTTCAGGAAGCATAAGTGAAAGTAAGAAATTGTAATTTTTGAAAGTTTTAACTATTATACCTGAATTAAATAGGATGATTTTATTTTTACTCAGTTCCTTACTTCAAAAGATCATGAAATTAAGGTTCCTGATAGTTTTTCTTGGTAAATTTTTACTCATTTAATAACACTAATAATGTTTTACTCTTTTGTATTTACTATGGGTAGAGAGGTTGAAGAAGTGTTGCTCTGCTTGTGTGTGTGTGTGAGAGGGGAGTGAGAAAAGATGGGATTTCAGGTCTTAACTCATGCAGAAGATTCTGGATGGAATAAGGAAAAGAAGATTAAGTTATTGTACAAGTTAAGGTTACAATTTGAATAGGCTGGTAAAATTGAAATAACGAAGACAATTTCTAATAGCTTAGCTGTATAAATGCTAATAAATCAGTGCACATTAAAACACTGAGTACACACACAGGCAATTGCTGCAGAGTGAGCACCCTGTGCAAGTGCAGAGCCATGGCTGAGCAGCAGCAGCTTTAATTTATTCAGAGTTAGAGACATAACAGCAGCTACTTGTTGATCATGCACTATCATGTTTTAATGGCACACTTAAAATATTTAAAGTGCCATCAGCTTGATGTGTCCTTGAGGAGGGTTCTGAATTCAACATTATATTTCAAAATCTTGATTTTGTTATGTAGTGTTAGTGTACAGAAAGCTTAGTGTGGATCCTTCTGCTTGTGTTATTTATTTGTATGATGCTCTAACACTTCCTGGATTATTCAATTTTCCTTATCCATAGAGCAATTGTTTATTTCACAGATAGGCTGATGGATTGTGGTCCCTTGTGCTAGCATTTAATGCCCAGAAATGTCATTATTTCACTTCTGGTTTTTCTACAAGATTTGGATTTTTTTTTTTAGGGTTGCATAAAATCTGCTAAGTTACTGTAGAATACTGTAATTATTCTTCCTATGCTGAATTAATGAAGTGCAAGCTCCCTCTAATGACCTACTGAAACGTTTCTTGCTAATGTCATTAGCTCTTAAGGTGTAATGTAGGTATTATGGAATGGGCAGATAAATGATCATCTACTTTCTCCCTGGCCTAAGACATAAGAATGTTCTGGAAAAAAATCGAGCATGAAGAAATTTAGGTTGGCTCATTTCAAATGATCTGAGAACTCTGCTGAACCCTGCAGTCCTGCAAGGGTGGGATTTATCTGCAGATTACCAAGGCCAGACTGGAATCATGGTATCTGCAGCACTGACTGATACATTTGGTTGACATAATAAAATCTTTTCTATTTTGTCCACTACTAGAGTTTGTCAGACTCCATATAGCCCATAGGAAAATTTAAATTTTTGTTAAACGGGCAAAAACTTCTGTAATTGTAGAAAATATTAAGAAATATACAGGTAATTCTGTGAACTAAATGTAAAGGGGAAAAACGTTGTCCAATGGCTTTGCTTGCTCGAAGAAATCAAGTAATACCCGTTCTGTTACTGTGTTTTCAGTAAAAGCATATAAAATTTACTGGGATCTGCGTTGAATACTTGCAGAACAGAGTTGGCTGATTTATTATTTCATTTAAATGTTGGGAGGGATGGTTTAATAGAAATGTCCTTGTAGCACTCATAAAATTATTGATTAACATGTGTGAAATTGTTAATGAAATTGTTTGAGCTGACACTTTTCTGTATGGTATTTGGCTCTTCTGGTACCATGTTGAACCTAACCCGAAGGAAATCTTTAAAAATTCTAAAATTCTGTCAGTTGTTTGTTTTTGTTTGTTTGTTTGTTTTTAATTTTTATTCTTGATTTAATGACAGAAATTTTGTAAAAAATAGAAAGGATTTTATAGGAAATGACAAGGTTCAGAATTCTTATCATCTTTAGGGCTGAACTTGAGAAGCAATGCCATGAGGAAACAATGACATTATTTCTACTCCCATTTCCCTGTAGCAGTTATTTCCTGTGTCAGGATTTATAGGCAGGAGAAGAAGCAATTTGGAGGAGCTGAACAAGTAACAGTGTATCTCATTAATAGGCACGTGGTGAAAAGGTGCATTCTGCCCTACGTCTGTAAAAACAAAACAGCTGCAACCACAGGCAGATGTGTACTCATTTGTTTTGATCAATACTTCTGATGTGGTGTTAAATAACACTGCTTTTGAACGATTGCTCAAATTAGTGATGAGATTAAGAGCATTTTTATGTGCTTTGCTGAATAGCAAATGGTGTTGGCAGCATCTTAAGTGCTGCCTGTGTACATGACTTCTAGATCTGAAATGAGCAAAAAATGTACACAGACATTAATCCTTTTTGTTCCTTCTTCTCAGATGAACTTCGTCAAGCTATCGTGGCCATGATGAATAGAAAGGATGAACTGGAGGAGCAGAATAGGTAGTTTACTTTTTTTAGTCAAGAGAGACTTTAATTACCAAAAAAAAAATCTGTTTTCTATTACAAGCTGTCCTTTCTGTAAAGCTATACATAATATTTATGTAACCTTTTTGATGTATATATTATTTTTTTGTGAAAGGTTAATTTAATAATTCACTATTTAGATGTTGATACTGTAGAATAGTGTTTTGAGGGCAACTTTTTACTTGTAGTTTGAAGCAGGTAACTCTTTGTACCTTGGGAGCTTTGCACTTGTATTTTTTTCAAAACCAAACCTTATAGCCAGAAGAATCTGAAGCTCTCTTAAGATAGCTTTTCAAATGAGCAAAAGTTTCTCCTGATGCAAATATTCAGAAAATTTCTGTTTTTTCCCTTCTGGTGAAGAAGTGATGTAGGATGGCTGACAATGTAATGCTGAAAGTGACTTTCATTTCTGACTGTGTTTATGTTCACTTGGGGAAAAATGATGATGTACATGTAGAAATTATCAGTTGATTATATAAAATGCCATCAAACATAGTTTATATTTATCTAGTTTATTGAAATACATAGTTAGATAAATGCAAATCCAAATGTATTCAATGCTTTAGTAGGGCTATTTTGGTAATTCATGTTTTCCTATAGGTATTTTGGATTTCTTAATGCTGAGCCTACCAACAGATCCTGTCTTCCTTCCTCCTGTTCTTCCCACTCCCATAATTGCAAGTTATTGCCTCATTCAGCTTTGTGGGTTTTTTTGGCAGAAGGACCAGGATGCTTTGGGTTTTACCATTATGCATCATGCTGACCTTTGCTATCTCATCAAGGGTTTTTACACAGAGGTCTGTGGCAGGGCACTTGGCAGAGACAAGAGCCCTGCCTGTCTTGCTATAAATATATTGCTTATAGATTATTCCCAAGATGTTTGGACTTGCACTGAAGTACTGAAAACAGCTTACAAGCTTTTTTTAAAAAACAAATTCTTTCTGCATGCTGGTACACTAGATCCCATAATAGGTTGTGCTTTGGACAAGATAGTAATACAGATTAATAGTAAGCATTTGCAACTGCTTTTTTCTTGTAGCTTTTCATATCTTTGTATAATCAGATAAATTTATTAAACTGAATAATGAAATTTTAGGATGACATCAGTGGTATCATTCAAGCAACCTCCTCTGTGATTCTTAGAGTATGTACACAGATTTACCAGGTCATTAATTACCAGGTAGAGTGTGCAGTGTTCTAAAGAGAGGCTGTTGCCTTCTTGCAGATCCCTGCGAAATCTGCTCGATGCAGAGATGGAGCATTCTGCAGCACTGAGGCAGGAGATGGAGAACTGCAGAAGGAAGGTGGCAGAACAGGAAGAGCGACATTCCACCAAAGTCCAAGCCTTGGCACGGTAAGAAGTGCTGAGTGTCTTAAAAAGTAACTGCAGGGTAACAAGGGAAGTTTGTATACAAGGGAAATAATTTTCAAGTGGCTAAGTTTGCACAACTGAAGTGATTTAGGACTAAAAATCCTATTGTAAGCAATAGCTGTTGCTAAACTTTATCAACAAGCCAGTACCAAGTTCTGAAGTGGTGCAGCTGTTTTCCCACAGCTCCAGGAGGGTCAGCTGGGACAGATTTTCTCAGGACCATTTGCAGTCAGGTTTTGAATATCTGCACAAATGGAGACTCCCCAGCCCTTTGGGCAGCACTGTTGGCTGTGACTTGTTGGCAGTGCCGTTTCTAGCAGGGTCCAGGCTGCTCTTGGCTTGCTTTAGGGGGTGTTGAAGGCTTGTGCTCACTTGCCTGTCCCCCAGGGCTCCCAGATCCTCCTCCACAGAGGTGTTTTCCAGCCCTCCAGCATTGCCTGGGTGTCCCAAGCTATTGCTCCTCAAATGCAGGACTCTGCATTTACCCTTGTTGAACTTCAGCCATTTTGTGAGTCCAATTCTCCAGCCTGTCCCTGTCCCCCTGGATGGCAGCACAGCCACACAGTGTCTGTGCTCCTCAGTTTTGTGATGTCTGTGACCTTGCTGAGGGTGTGCTCTGGCACAGCATCCAGGTGGTGTTAAGGTGTTAAACAGCATTGGGCACCAGTATTGAGTTGCCTCCATCTTGACTTTGTGCTACGGTGAAATTAAGAGAATTTTAACCCTCTCCTTGTCTAAATGGGATTCAGCTTAAGAGAGACTTTTGAAGGTAAATGCTGCTGTAATAATGTGATTTGCTTCTTAAAATTCAAAATAAGCTCTAGAGTAACTGTAATGTGTAAGACATTGGGGGTGATTCACGTGTATAGTAAACAACAAACAATCCAAGAGTTAAATAATCTGCCTTACTCAGAGAGAAGTGTTTGTTTTCTGCATGCACAGCCAGAGTGTGTTTAGTGTCAATCACAAAGTACCACAGCTGAGATTGCTTTAAGCCTTTTATTGCCCATTTTAAAACGATAAATAAAAAGCTTTCTTAAAAATATTAAGGACACTACTAATTCTGCTTTTGATGACACATCAAACCAAACTACTTGCTTTGAGGGAGGGAGAGATATGAATAAGTGGGTTTGACATTCATGTGCTGTAAGGCAATAGAGACAATGCAAATACTTAATCATTTAATATTCATGTTTCAGGTTATAGGAGTTGTATATTCATATTTCTTTGACTCACTTCCCCCACGATTTTAGAATTTGCAGTGACATATGGGTGAATCAGATATTTGTCATGCACATACTTCTTTAGAGAATAGAGAGGGAGCTTTTATAATCAGACCTGAAAAGATGCTCACTTAGACTAAGGAGGTGTTTTTAAACAAGTCTGTGTAATTCCTCTTATTGCTATATGGGTGTGTTGTGTTGATTGCTCTTCTGAAAGTCAGTTTGCCCTGTCATGTGATAAAAACATTGTTGGGAGCTGCTGAGGCATGATAAATTCATGTGTCACCAGTTACTTTGGACTTGTGAGGCATTTCTTTAATGATTCATTGCAACTCATTTTCTAACATCCAAACATAACAAATTTTGCACGTCGTTTCTTTGGAATATAGGTTTCTCTTCTAAATTTTTTGTTGGTCCACTTTGTATGCTGTAGGTGATGCTGCTGCAATAATAAGAGTTGTAAATTTTTAAAATAAATAGTGTTTTAAACCAAGAAGTTGAGCAAGCTGAATAATCTAAAGGATTTGAAGTAACAAAAAGTTTGGAATTGCTTTGTGAGTGCTGCATAATATACTAGGTGAGTAAGAGGAAACTAAGTTTCAGATATTTTGAACCAGTGGAATCTCAATGTTTCCTTGAAATCAACTGATCACATGACCAGAGTAGAAAATTTTCCTCAGTTGTAACGTTTAGAATATTTTAAGGCAAGGGAAATCATTCAGTAACAATCTGACTGTTGTGATTTGATGAATGAATATTTTTCAGATTATGAGAGCTGATATTTATGTGTGTCCCCAAAGCTCTTTTGAAGAATTTGACATAAATAGCTTCCTAAAGGCTTTGAGAACACAAATTTCAGTGACACATCAGTCAGTGCTGAAATGATGGCTTCTGGAAATGTGCAATTATTCAGCTGTTCTTCTGGACTCTCCCAAGAGTCTCTGGCCTCCCAGACAAAGGGTTGGGTTACTGAGAGACATTTTCCTCAGGTTCCCAGTTTCTCTTTGAAAAATGGGAGAAGTCTTAGGTCAGCTTAGTTTCAAGTAATGGTAATCCCATTGTTCCATGTGAAATACTTGAATAGCTCTTTCCTAACAGTTGCTATATTGTTCCAAAAGGGGCACTCTTGGGTTCAATCTATTTGCTAGTCTGATAGAATACACTCAGTAGTCCCTTTAGTATAATGTTGTCAGCTGTTTTTTAATTGTATTTTTAATTTTTTTTTTGGTTCTTTTGTTTTTGTTTTTTTTCCCTCATCAATGAACCCTTCTCAAATTGCATGGACATACTGTGCCAGTGGCTTCATGGCAATACTAAAGTTTTTAAATTGAGATTCCTTTTTTCTCTGTGGAATACTATTACATCCCTTTGCAAGGCAAAGGAATTTATTGAAGTTGACTGTGAAATTGGATAATCTCAGATTGCATATTCTTAAACTATATTCAGCAATGTTGGAGGAAAGCATATTACAAAAGACAGTCTTTGTAGCAAGAAAAGCAGATAGAGAAGATGAAAATGCACTGTGTGGGGAAATGGGGGATGAGAATTTTGTTCTACTTTCTTACACTTCTACACACCTCCTGTTTACTGTAGATTCTGTAACCTAATATGCCTCCCTAGCTACTGTCTGTATTGCTTAAACCACATTGCTGTTGGATTTGGCACTTTCCATTATTGTGTTTTACAACACTTCTTTCACAGCCATAGCCCTTCAGTGATGGGTGAAATGTTTGGTACATCTTTAAATGATTCCATCACTTCCCTTAAGCAGCTTCTTAGAGAGAGGAAAAAATATCTCTTGTCCCTGCTTGTGAAAACTAATTTGAATATTCCTACATTAAATGACTTTTCCTTCCTGCTTAGTTAGTTGGTGACATGTCACAAGTCATCAGTAGCTCCCATACATGAGAAAAAGTACTGGAAGTGGAAGTCAGCCCATTTAGTAAGGGACAAAGGAGCTTCCTAGAAGAAGCAGGAGAAAGAAGTGGATGAGGAAGAATATTTGACAGCAGGGCATCAGTGAGGGCAGGAGGAGGAGAGGCAGCTGTAGCATGAGGAGGAGGAAGGGGAAGAACTAAACGAGGTGAAAATCACCCGGGCTCCATCTCTGAGTGAGCCCCCAGCCAGGGAAGAGGTTTCAGTGCTGGCCCTGCTTCAGCTGCAGCCCCAGCCATGACAAGCAGTTGTGTTTAGCACATTATTCCTTGTTACAGTTCTTTTTCTGGAGATTGGTTTTATTCTATAATCTCATCATATTGTATATGCACTTCAACTTCTACAAGTAACAGTTCTCATCTTCCTTATTTAATTGTATTTGAAGCAATTAACTGTGATCTTGCATCTGCTAATAGTAGAATCATTCAGGTTAGAAAGCATCTCTGAAAGTTCTCTAGCTCAGCCTCTGCTTTACATTCTACATATTGTTGCAGGACATTGTTTATTTCAATTAATTCTTAATTCCTGCAGGTTCTTTTATTGTTTGGATATTTGGTACCTTTACAGTGTTTTCTAAAAACCTTAAATTTTTTGTCAAAACATAGACATCTGTTGGATTCCTGTAATTTGTTTGTTTGGTTGGTTTTGTTTTATTTCATTTTTCCCAATGGTGAATTTAGGAACGAGACACTTTTCTGCAAGCTTCACAGAAAGCACTTGCTAGAATCTGATGTTTGTGCCAAAAATTAATTACATTCAGGCCACTATACTTGAGATACGTGAGAAATTACTCTTTTTAAAATTATTTTCTTACCATGCTCATTTTACAGAATTTAGAGAATTTCTATATAGTTTTCAAGAAGCAGATGTGTGTTGGAGTTTTGTTTGGGTTTCTTTCTTTCTTTTTTTTCTATTAATGTATAAGAAAATAAATCCTATAAGGCCTCTTTGTCTGCAACAAAAACTGTATTCTCTATGTTCATTCACTGGATGCAAAACAGGCAAATATGTGCTTCCAAACACAAGCTTGTTTTATGCTGCTAAAAAAAATTTACCATTCTGACTGAAGTTTTGATTTTCTTTCAGTCAGGGCTTCCTTAAATGCTAATTTTAAAATAATAAAATAGAGAGGAAATGTCATTGTTTTTGATTCAAAATTAGGCAGGGAATTGAAGGTATTTGACAACTTACATTTATGATATAATTGATCATTCCTATATATGTGCTGTAAAGCCTAATCAACAACACTCACTAGACCTGTGCTATTTGAGCTAAAAGAGTAATTTGTAGAAATACTACATTGTCATCCTCTATAATTGTCATTTTCTCTTATATCAGCTCATATTACCATCTGTCTTTGATCTTATTAAATTGAAGAAATGATCAGGCAGGGAAATTTGGTATAATTGAGGTTTTGGAGAAGGATGTGCTTTTAGTGGTGCAGTTCTGCCTTTGTTTTCCTGGCTATTTCAGCCTGATTTTTTTTCTTTTTTCTTTTTTCTTTTTTTTTCATTTTTCCTCTCTTGCCCCTTCAACTTGTACTTACAGTCTCATTGCTCATTCTTCAACAGTAAATGTGCAACTATTTGGAGCACTTTAAAGATGCTGAAAATATTGTGCTGACCTCTGGGCTCATAACAGGTGAACAGTTCTGCTTCAGGTTAGGTGTTGTAGTTTGGGTACATTGCAGAAGTACAGCAGGGCCTGCATATAAAAGCATTTAACATCCTTCAGTTTGCAAATCTGACCCTTAACTCCTGGACAGAAATTTATCTGATAGAAATACATCTGATAAAATACCTTTTGAAGTCATTAAAGACTTTTCAGTGAGTGCTTACTAATTTTCTTTAACAATATGCTCTGATTAAAAGAACTATATAAATACATATAATTACATAAATAAATCATAAATACATCAGGATGGGCCCTCTTTGAAATCCAGCTAAATAGTAGTAATGAGAGAGAGATGTCAAAGAATGAGAAGTAAGAACCTGATAAAGACACATATTAGAAAATTGTGATTGGGCCATAGTATCCTGTTTTGAATTTCAGTCTTGTATCAAAAACTTTGAATTAAAGTCTTTTTCAACTTCGTCTGTTCTGTATCAACTTTAAGTCAATTTTAAGACAAAGTAATAAAAATGGATTTTTAAAAATGCTGTCACAGAACTGACAGAAGGCACTGAGTCTATTCTCATATGTAGAAATGAGGTGATACAGAGTTATTTCATGAGAGTCCTTAATACTCACTGTATTTTAACTTTACACAGTTATTTTCATGCAGACATTCTTACAATTCTGGTAAGAAACCTTTTTGTTTGGTTGTCACAGAATTTTTTTTCATTAATGAATTATTTAGGTTTGTTTTAATATAGTATATAGGATGAAACTGTGTTTCTTATGCTTTTTCCCTTAACCTGAATATCAGTGTCTATCTCTGGTGGAAAAACTGATTTGTTCTTTGTAGTCTCAGAAATGAAAAATATCATCAAATGCATAAAATCATCAAGGACTCTTAAAATTCGACTGCCAAGCAATCAATAGCTTCTCAATTATTTAGCAACCTCCTGCTAAAATGCTGAATAAAATTGAGGTTACAAAGTTCAGCAAGCTGACTTGAAATGCATAGGGATGGGAATATAATGCCCATCAAGGCTTCTTCCAGGAGCAGTATAGCATTGCTTACAGCAGCAGTCTGTTGTGTGTATATATATATATTTATATATATATATAATGTATGTATATTTGATGTGTGTGTATATCTAGTATAAGGACCATCAAACGTACTTGTGTGTTTTTTTGAGTATTTCTAACTCTTAAATAAATTCACATTAATAAAATGCCATTTTTTGGGGGTGTATCATATGTTTACAGCTTTCTGTGCTGTGTTCCATGTCCAGGTTCCATAGTTCCTGGAGCATGGCCTTGGCCAGCCCAAATTCCCTCCTGTCTCTAAAGGTTCTGGGGTTCTCTGTGTGTTGTGCTGCATTTGTGGCTCCTACATATTTCTACCTCCATATTTTCTTAAAGAAGAATAAAAGTTGTTTGAATTCACAGTCTGGAAACACATTTTTGTTATGTTTCTTCAGTATAAACATTTCTGTTGTACTTGATTAACCGAATGGGCTTAGACAGATAATTGAATTTTCACACTTTGTTTAAAATCAATCAGTAGCAGCTCTTTTTATTTCCCCCCAAGAATAAACTGGGGTGCTTAATGTTGTTAAGTGGAGCCATGGTAGTACCTGTTTGAATACCTGTACACTCCAAAGTGACATGGGCACATGTACTGAAATATGACAGCTGCAGGGATTGCCCACATTCCCTGTCTTATGGTTTGCATTTAGGAATGGTTTATGGAAACTTGAGCCTTGAATATTGTTGCTGAAGTGCTGCCCTTTGCTTACAATACTAAAGCCTGTTTCTAAAGCTGAATTATTATTTGTTTGCAATTAGGTGCAAACTATTAAAATAGGGATATCACTTTACATTGGCCATTCTGAATTTCCTTGTGTAACATCCCATCCTTGTGGATTTAGATAGACTGTGTAGTTTTTTTGCCATCAGTATACCTTAGTACAGAAAATCTAAACTAAACAATGATTGAAAAGTTTTTGATTATGAGATAATCTGTTTCACTGATGTGTTTATGTGGTCCTGGAAAAGTAATTTTCCTGCTACTCCGCTTTTGATGTATTATTTAATGTGTAAGTATTTTTTTTCCCTTGCATCATGGAGACACAACTTAGGTAAAACTCATTTTTACAGAGAGTGTGTTTCCATTGAAATGGACTTTTCATCTATTTTGAGAAAACAATAATATTTCTCTATTTTGTTTTTTTTTTTTTCAATAGAGAAAATGAGGTGCTAAAAGTACAGCTTAAGAAATATGTAGGAGCTGTCCAGATGCTCAGAAGAGAAGGTCAAACAGTGGAAGGTAAGGATAAAATGAAGAGGGGAAAAGAATCCAGGGTTTGTCTCTCTGTGTGCTGCCATTGAGGGAGTAATAGCTCCCAAATATGAAAATAACATATTTGATATATTTTCCTTTTTAGAAAAATACTGATGTAGATTTTTTACTCATTTTTACAGAGCATTTTCTGGTAGATGAGGTGGTCTTACTTTTTTTTCAATAAGAAATTTTCCAGAAAAAGCTGTCAGATGAAAATTTAACTTAAATAAAAATCTGTGAATTAATGTGATATTGGAATATAAAAATAAATGTAATATCTCTAGATTATACTGTTGTTTTAGAAATCAGTCTTTGCAGACTGTTTGAAATGGACTCTGTACTGAGTAGTAATGAGCAGATTTTATATCTGAAAGAAAATGAGTCAAGTTATCAACAGTTTCACCTGTTTGTCTTCTGTGGTGTGTGATAGAAGCTCCATGAGGGGCTGGATGGATGTCTCAATTCTGAATCCTCTCCTGGTGGGACCTGGATTTCCTTTGCTTGCAGAAGGTGTTCAGAGAGCTGAGAGGGGTTTTCAGAAATTGGCACCATCTGTCTAGTTTTTTAAAATTGGGAATATTTTGGTTGTATAAGTGGCTGTATGAATGAATACTACTGTTCTTAAGGGTTAGCCACTGTACTTATCTAGAGTTTCAAAGCTTCATTCATCCCTAAAAGGATATTTGTTAGTGAGAACACATATTTTTACTTCTGACTTTGCTGGAGTGTAGTGATTCATATTAAGAATTATTCACAAAAACCATGGCTTAGGCTTCCTATAATAGCAGAAATTATCCTTCATTAGGTAGTGACAGTTTCCATGATGAGGATAATTATAGGAAAAGAAAAAAAAAATATTCCTAGGCTAGCTATATTCCACCATGTTAAAATTATGCAGATTAGTGTGTGATAAGAATAGAAACTGAGTAGGATGGTCAGATTTTATAGATGAAAAAGGGGGATGGAACAGTACCAACATTTCTAAAAATGAACACATGTATGCTTTATGCTGGAAAGATATTTAATCAATCCACAGTAATTTTCTATAATATTTATCACTAGTGACCAGAATAAATTTCAGCTGCATGCAATATATGTAATAATTTTTTCTTACGTTCTAACTTCACGTGTTGAATTTTTATAAAAGTAAATTTTTTTCCTTAGCTGCCATTGAAAATTTAGGTGAAATTTTAGTGGCACCGGGGTCCCTGAATCAAAGTACATAAGCATGTAAATAATCCCTGAGAACTAGCTGCAAAAAAAGGAGTGAAACAAAAGTTTTTTCTTTTACCAGATTTATAGAAACTATTGCACCCATGGTTTATATACATAATGAGTAATTTTAATTATAATTAATCTTCTGAATGGGATGAAAACAAAAGTCTTAAATGCATTGTAGATTTTAGAATACTGATTTTCTCTGACTCTGTTTTGAAAGAGTCAGAATAAATTTGGCTTCTGCTGTTATTTTTATCACTATAAATAATGAAGACTCTACATGTTTGCTGCAATAATCAGATCAAATGCTATTGAATATGGCTTTTAAATAGTTTCCTAAAATAATAAATGAAACTCAGCTTGATACTTTGCCTTGTGGAGACTTAAAAAGGCCAAAATCTCCACTCAGCAAATGTGATTATAAATAAATTACCCAAAAGTCAGAACTATCAGCTTTCAAAATGAGTGATCACTGCTGTAGCCTGAGCAGTTGGATATTGGTATTTAAATATTTAATAAATGAGCATCTTGATTTCTCAGCCATCAGCAGGAGTTGGCTCTGTACCATGTATTTAAACCTGCTTAGACAGAATATTTATATAAAAATGCTGATCTTAGAAGTTTGGCTGAAGAACTTGAAGCAACATTTACCAGAAAAAAAATGTTTAAATAGCTTTCAAATTCACTTAAATAATAATAAACTTCTAAATTCTTCCTCAAACCAAAAATCATTCCCTAGGCCCAAGAATATTTAGGCAGATAAATTATGGTCTCTCCTATCTACCTTATAGTGGTTGTATATAGAGTTCAGATTTTGAAGAATGGTGAAAGCATTTGTTCAACTTCTATTAGGGCTTTAGTTTCATGTGTCAACTTGTTTTCTTAGAAATTCGTGAGCTATAAGGAAAAGTTGAATTGGATTTTGTGTAACTTGGAGGAGATTTACTTAGAATAGGCCTTAAAGGGCTCTTCAAATACCTAAATGATAGCTGGGAACAGGAGTAGAATAATCTGGAGTTTTCATTCACTGCACATAAAAGAAGTAGTAATGGGCTGGCATGGCAGGTGAAGGAAGTTTGATTAGCTATCAGGAAAACCTTTGTGAGAAGAATACTGCAATTTAAATAGGTTGTGCAGGGAAGGATGATGTCTCCCTTCTTGGAAGTTTTTAGGAAGAAATTAGATAATTAACAGTCAGGAATGGTATAACTCCAGCTGATTCTGCATGATGCAAAATCATGAAATACTGGATGAAGTGTGGAATGTTCATTCTCAGCCCTATTTTCTGTAATTTCTGTGATAAGTAAACAGTCTGTGCAAGTAATATGAAATGATATTTTGGAAGCCTAGTAAAAAAAAAGGCTTAAAAGAGAAGGAGTAAGCTGAGTTTTAGAAGACTTTGGGCAGGAATTGCAGGTACTGCATACATTAGACAGTTGTAGTCACAGAACTGCCAAATGCTTTTGCTTTATATTTTTTTCTGCTAAGACTCCAGTCTAGATATTTCTTACCAAAAAAGGTCCCTGCAGAATCTTTATTTTAGCACTTGTAATAGTGTTTAGTATTATGGTCTGTTCCAATATTTTTAGTAACTGATTCTTATAGAGCCATTATTTCTAAACAGGATGTCCTGGATGCTTATGGAATTGAACTTTTTAATTTGAGATATCTCTTTGTTATAGTTCTGCCAAACATTTGGGGCACTGATGGTGAATTTACAATTCCAGAACAAAAGCAAGTAGAAAACAATGAGGAGCTGGCCAACTCTTATGAAAGGAAATTGATTGAGGTAAAGTTTGTACTGCACAGATTTTATTGAATTGTAATTGTAACACAAGATTTGAAGCTAAAATAGTTTCTTTGCTTAATTGTGATTTTATTTCCTCAGGAATGTAAAAGATAAATCTGATCTTTTTCTTCAAACATACAAAATCTCAGATAATTAAGAGTACTTTTCCTAACAGGGATATGCTTTTATACACAGTTTTAAATGGAAGGTTTTAATAAATAAACAAGTTCCTTCGTGTTTTAACTGCTGGTGGTGAAGTTGAAACAATCACAGACAAAAGATTTGAGGTTTTGTGTAAGTTACAGTACACAATTACAGGCATAGCTGGGCTGACAGTTGAACTTTATTTAATATGAGGTCATAGTGAATCTGTAGCTTTTTCTGTGTTTTCATGCTGGTTTCTGATTGCAAACCATGTTTCATTTTTGTATTGCTTATTGAATACTGCAGTAAGGAAATGGCTGATAGAAGCTACTACTTCTGTTGATATGACCATGTTAGAAAAAGTTCCTAAGGCAAGATTTACTTTCAAGATTAATGTAAAATTCATTAAAGGGAAAAAAAAAAGAGAGATTAGTGTTTCATCCTTAATTTGAATAAAATTATTTTTAAGACAAAAGTAATGAATTTTAGTATCTAATAACCCGTATCTGCTATAAAGTATTAAAAGAACACTTTTCTAAAAAGTAAAACAATTCTCTATGTCTTTCTCTTGCCCTAAATACCCGAAATTGGAGACCCACATTAACTGATTAACATGAAGATGACTAAAAATGCAGGTCATGGATCAAAGAGCTTCATACAGTTCCTCTAAAACATTCATGCTTGGTTATCCTTTTCTCATAGGACCATGTGAAACTCTCTCCCTAATGTTTACCTTGGTTGAGGAGTTCTGACTCCTTTGTTCTGTACTATCTAGAGAATATCTTAATTAAGAGCACAGGTAAAGCCTCCCTCTGCTGTGGAGCCTCCTCAGTTGTACCAGGTTTGTTCTGTGCTCAGGAGTTTGCTGCTGACACTTCTGAGTTTGTGGCACTGTCAGTGGTGACACAGCTCTGGATATACCCACAGGAAAAGCTTTTTTGCCAGTGATATTGGGAAGAGGGGGACTGCATTTCTTTCACTTATTAATCTCCAACAGCATCTTCATGTACTCCAAACAGGATATTAGCCCTGTGACAACCCTTCTTTAAGGCTCTGAGCATGGCAAGCAGTATTTGTCTCAGTAAACACTGGCAGGACTGGACACAACTGACAAAGACTGGGAATTATTGCAAACATGAGTAAGAATTTCATTAAATGTGCACAGTTCCCAGTTTATTTTGGGATGAAAGCTTCAGTTTATTTTTCACTTGTTTGTTTTGATGAAACCTGACTTGTGCTTATCTTGTGTAGTGAGAGTAAAAAACCAACCAAGCAAAAATCCACACAACAAAACAAAACCAGGCTCTCCTGGTTTAGGGCAAATTTTGGGAGGAAACTTCTGAAGTGGTCTTTTCTAGAAAGCAAATTCAAGCGGCCCCCTCCCCCAGCCAGTTCGGGAGGCAAACCTCCTTCTAGAAAAAAACCTGTTCATTTAACAAGCAAAGTATTCACAAGCATAAAAAATGAATAATATTAAACAATGGAACCTCTCGTTGTTCTGAAGAGATGGCAAGTTCAGAGAGTCCTTTTCATTGCGTGTGGCTCAGCTTGCTCAGTCTCTATCAGTCCCTCCAGTCCAGAACATGCTGTGTCCTGGGCCCTGCTGGGCCACAGGTGTGAGCTCCTGATGTTCTTGTGGTCAGAGCAGGTTTGGACAGTTCCAAGAAAAAGAAAAGCCACAATCCAGGGAACTTCTCTGCCTCAGCCAGCTCAAACTAACTAAGAGCAAAGGAGAGCTCTGTCCCCCTGTCCATCCGTGCTGCAGACAGCACAGTCTGTGAGAAGGATGCAGGGGAGCAAGGGAGATTCTGGAAACAGATTCTGCTCTTCTTCTGCCCCCTGGGCTCTCCCAGCCAGCCTTAATATCACAACTTCATATCCAGCACAGACAGAACACAACTGGGGACACAACATCCTGCAGGCACCCTGGGACACGAGCCCAGAGCAGCTCCATGCCAACCCTATTCCTAAGGGGTCTTGCAGTGTGTCTTGGATCAAATTGTTTGCAGATGGAAATACTGAGAATAGAAAAGGGAAGTTTTGAAACAGAAAGCAAAATCTGAGCATTTTATGACTATCAGTAGATTTTTTTGGAACCATTTCTGCCATTTTGAGTTTTACTCTTTTTCACTTGTAGTAAAATGGAGTTGTTAATAGGATGCCTGCTCTGTTTTGCAGCCCTTTGACCTTGTTTCTTTTGAGAAAAAGATGTACAGGAACATTGACTTTTGAAAAGGAAATCTTCTCATAGGAAAAATATACCCATGGTTCCACTAAGAGCAAAAAGAAGCAACTTCCAGTTTTGTCTAGAGTTCCTTGGGAAACACATTGTTTTGTATTTTGTGACTATTGGGGAAAAAATGCCTATGTGTGACAAAAAGTTATTAATTCAGATTTGGCTTGTGCAAAAACTTCTATCAAGTCTTAGTTGCAAACAATATTAAAAAAAACCTTAGGTTCCACTAAAACACTGTAAGAAAATTACTAATTTTTTATTATTGCAAGTTTTTATTGATTTTATTTTTATTGTTGCATTGCTGTTAAATGTCTTTTTCTCTATCTAGAAGTGTGTCCTTCCAAGATAGATTGTATTATTAGATGCTTAGTGAAACATTTCTGTTTTAAGTTAACTGCTTGGTCCTTTGCTGTGAAACATGAAGTGATGTTTTCTTTGTCATTTCTCTGGAGTCTGCTCTCAAGTGTGGCCATGCTGGGCAGTGTCACTGCAGTGCTCTCAGGCACTTGGGTTTGCTTTTGAAAACTCCAAAGAGTTCTCTTGGTATGGAGCCTCAAGTGTTTACTTTAGCCTCACTTCACCTTCATGAGAAGGATTTGGGTACTTTAAACTTTTTTCTTATATAGGAAGGAGCAAATCTAAATGATCCTCTGTCCAAGGGAAACTTAGCTTATTTATAGTTTATTTTTATGCTTCAAGCATATTGTTATAAAGAAAAACAACTGCAAAGATGATTGAAGTCCCAGCAGGGAAATTTATTTAAGCTTCATTTTGGATGGAGTAAAGGAAGATGTGATGATATAAAATGTAACTGAAAAGATATAATTTTAAGGAGTCTTCTTTATTGTTGTAGAAGATTTTGATGCAGGAAAAATTAAAGGAACTTAAATTATTATTGTTCTTTATTGCTCCTTTTGATTTGCTGTGATTGTAATGCATTTTTCTTTGACAAGGAAAAGTATTGAAGTTAACTGCTAATAAGTGATACCTACCAGTTGTCCTTTTGATTATATAGAACAAGTGATTTGGTGTTTTATTTGCTGTTAAATTTCCTTTTTATTATTTAACTTTGCTAGTAACACTTATAATTTTTTGCATTACTTGTATTTTGAGAGAGTTGTTGAATTTGCATATTAATTGAGTCTGCAAGTAGAAAGTTATTTCAAGGACATCGGAATTAGAGGGGGAGAAGACAGTCACATATCAGTCTGGATTTTGTTCTTCTAATAGACAGGCACTGAAAAATCAAATATTATTTCAAATTTGTAAACTAATGAGCTTTGTATCCACATATAAATTTTGATATTGCTTTTGATAACCAGCAGCTTTTCTCTGTGAATTTGCAACTAGTTGTGTGCTGTATCTCTGTACCTGAAATGCAAGGAAGTTCTGCCTTCCAGCTCAGGCTCTGTGGAATTAACGGTGACCTGTTAAAATTAACCTGGTATTCTTAAATGTTACACCACCCATTTTAAATTGGAATTAGTGGTTAAGCCAGTATGGAAAATTATTTATCTAGAGTTAATAGTATTATATTAGTGTTTTCTCTAGTATCTCATTGGCATTTGGCTCTTTTTTTGCATATATGTTATAGTGATGAATGCTGGGTTTGAAGGATTCCCTCTAATATAAAAAGAAATTGGAAAAGAAATCTTGAAGTTAACCTTAAGAAAATTATTTTTATTTTTGATTTATAATTAACGATGTCAATCCTGGCATGTCATATTGAAGCTGTTTTTTTCTGTTGGCTTTGATTCTGTGAAGGACACAGGTTTGTGTGTAACAAAGCACAAAATTAAAAGCAGGCACTAAATTAAATTGAATTCAACTGCTTTATTTTGGGGAACTTCCCTGGGGAAGAAGGAGAAGGCAGAGTAACTCAAGAAAAGGAAGTAATGAAATTCACAGGTAGTAATGAACTGCTTCCAGAAGAGAAACTATGAACTCTGGAGAGATTCGGCCAGTAGTGCAAGTCCCTGTGCTATTGTTGAGGTGCCGGGATTGAAATTCCTGTTGTTCAGCTGTGCTTTTGTGCAGTTTCCCTGCTGCCTCTGCTGTTCCCCAGCCCTGGATGGGGGTGTGAGGAGGAGGAGGAGTTCCAGGAGTTGCTGTAAGTGAGGAACAGGTTTAACCGTGCTGCTGGGACAGCCACTGAAAGGGGCCCAGCAGGACCCACCGAGTTCTTCTGACTGCTGGCACTTGCCATCCTGCTCATTCCCCCAGCCCCTGGCACTCTCAGAACATCCTGCATCTCTTGACTTAAAATGCAGAGCACGAGCACAGCCACACTTGGTGTCCAGAGAGGCCACTCTGTTTACCTAGGACAGCAACCTGTGCCACAGCCTGACTCTGGTATTTCGACTCCTCTGACCTCTCACAGATTCCCTTGGAGTGATTGACTTCTAGCTCCAGTCCTGTTAACACTCCAACTAAGAGTGAAGAATACATCACTTATGAATTATTGACAAAATTTAATGCAGTTTGTGCATTTTGCAGTATTCCCAGTTCAAAATATTGTGATTAGTTTATATCTGTTGAGTGCTATGTTCATCAAAGAATTAAGCCCAGAACAGAAGTCACTGCGTGTTTTATCAGATTCAGCTGTCATATGATTTCGACTGATAGGAATAAAATTTGACATAAAGTTGTATTTTGTCCTATTCAATATCAAAACTACATTTCAAGGTATGAGTCAAAATTATAGCAATGTCTGTTCTTAATGATCAGTTCAAGCTAATGCAGTAGCAGTACTTGGAGAGTATGGTGAAAATAAATTGATACAGAAGTAAGAAATTGCATCGTGGGATTTTTTTTTTTTTCCAATTCAGAACACAGTTATCCTTTGGCTTTGCTTTTCAGGTGGCTGAAATGCACGGGGAGCTGATTGAATTCAATGAGAGGCTGCACCGTGCTCTGATGGCCAAGGAAGCTCTGGTGTTCCAGATGAGACAAGAGCTAATTGATCTGAGAGGGCCGGTGAGTGTTTGTTTGGTGCACTGTAGAATATCCCTCTGCAACAGGCTCACATGTGCTACTCATGATGAAATATCTATTGGCTTGTAAGAAATAACAGAGCTGTGAAGAATTGGCTTTGCACAATTCCTTCGCTCTTAACTATTCTAGATTGTGCTTTACATTTTACATTATCCTTTTAAAGGAAAGAAGAAAGGTTTTTATGTTTATTCTGCCTATAAAGTAAGGTAAAAATTTATTTCTATTTCTGTTCTAAATGCTCTTGCAGTCTGGTTTTCTAACAACTGCTGCTTCCATTGATTCTGCAGGTGTTAGTCCATCGTTACATCGTTATGAACTTTTGTGCTCATATAATGTTTTGTAAGAGCACAGCTGAAATAAAATGCTCACGTGTCCTTCCCTTAATGGAATATTGGTTGTAAAAGAAAGTAATCAGTAGGTTTTATGTGCTTTGTATTTCCCCCTAAGTTGCTTGTACACACAAAGTACTTTGTTTTAGCATCCTTTGCTCATAAAGCCCTAATAATGATGCAATTTCCTGCGTTTTCTATATCTTTCAAAATTACATGCTTCTACAAATCCCAACTTGTTTTTTACAAAACTGTAGCAAATTCTAACATAAAGGACTCACAAGGGTGTTATGCTCACAATCCTCTTGCAGAATTTTGTTTTTCTTTTATTGCTTGTCAGTAATAGTTTCTATTGGCATTTATAAAATTGAATGTTGAATTGTAATTTCCTTATAATATTATGCTTTCTTAATTGAAAACATAATAGCCACTGTGTGGAAATTATTTCTGTTTTCTAAATATAGGTCCCTGGAGATTTGAGTCAAACATCTGAAGATCAGAGTTTATCAGATTTTGAAATGTAAGTTTCATAATTCACAAATTTTTCTCTTCGTACCGTCTCTGTGTATGTATTATGAATAGATTCAATAATTTGCTTTTCCTATATTATTTCCAATAACTGCATTCTTAGCTGTGGTGTTCTATTATTAAAAAGTATGGAGAGCTGCACAGTCCATGCCCCAGTGTAATTAATAATGCTGAACTCAGGGAGTTTAGACTTGGGAAGATTCCCTTGGAGTGATTTTTAAGAGTGCCCTAGGTCTTGGTATTCTGCCAAAGCACCAAGAAATTACTGGGTTTAGTGCTTTGGGTTTGATGGGTGCTGGTTGCTGTTCATCATGTAATGGAATTCCTTATTTTCACAGATTCACTCCTAATCAATGCTTACAAAAAACCCCAAACTCCCCACAAACAACCCACCCCAGATCATCTTAGAGTGTTGTGGTTTGGAATTTTGCCTTTAGTAGTCAAACTAATGAATCTTGCTTTTGTGGATGAGGGGTTGAAAATGTAGATGATGTGTTTGAATCATAGAAATTTGGAGATGGATGACAGAGTGGATAGAAATGGCTTCTGCATAATTGTACACTGCTCTTTTGTTATTTAATGAACTTTACCTAAGGTTTGTGGCTGAAAATACTGAATTTGTTGAATTTTTGCTTCATGTGTATAATTAAATGTTGTCAAACGCATGCTGTGAAAAAAAAAACCAAACCCCAGAAGACCTGCAGAGGGAATTGTTTCAGTTGGGTAAATTTTAGGGAGCTTTTGTAGATTCAAAACATAAAAAGTTCAGGCAGAACTCCAATCTTTCTGTTACTTCATTTGAAATTCTTTGTTGATCACTTTGATTATTACCTAGATCATTGCATGTAGTTGCTTTGCAATTCTTATAGATAAATATGATTCCCTATTTTAAGTTTTTCTCTCTCCTCCTCAGATCAAATCGTGCTCTTATTAATGTTTGGATTCCCTCTGTTTTTCTGCGTGGAAAAGCTGCCAATGCATTCCATGTTTATCAGGTAAGTGAGGCAGTTTAACAGGGATTTTGTGTATAAGTTTGTGACTGAAATAGCACATTTTAATAATTTAAAGCTCTCCGTGTAATTTCATTAGAGATCAGCTAATGAGCAGCAGCAGTAAGTTCATATCTATATATTCATCCATAGGATTGTGTTGATTATTCCAATAGCATATTTTGAGGGTTGACTTGTAGTGGTTTAATACTTTAAAAGCATGCTAATGAGATGACTCCATTGGTCAGGGAATGTAACAATTCAATATTAACCAGTAAAGCCTTCTTCAGTGTGCATGTATATGTTTTGCTTCAGTTTTGGGGGTAACAATGACCAGAAATGTTGCTTGACAGACAGACAGATGTGGTTTGCTGTAGTAGCTCACTTGAAAACATCTTGAATAATGAAACAATTCTTCACTGTGTGTTATTGAACATATTCACATGGTGTTCTGATTCAGGCAGTTCTGAATTTAGGGGTTTGTGCTCCAGCCTGACTTGTAGTTGAAGCATTGAAATTTTATACTCTTCCTTGATTCCTGGATTCTTGGTTTCAGAGGAGTGACACCCTCTGCAGATAGAATGGCAGGGTGAACTTCAAACACTCACTAATGTGCTGTCCTAGGCTGTTTGTATTGCTTTATTTGTGGATTGTTAGCAGCTGCAAAATTTCTCCACTTTTATTTCAGCCACATGTACTTAGTTCTGAACAAGATTGCTGAAGCTTGTTAACATTCCTCTCACTCTGAATGATGTTTTTTTGTAGAATTTTGAATCATTTATGAAGTGTTGGCAGGTAGTTGAAAAATACAGGAAAACCCCCACCTTTAGGCCGGTAAAAGACAATGAAAAATAAGACTTGAGGTAGTGGAAAGAAAAGCCAGCAGGATGGAGACAGTTAGTAATTTGTTCAAAAGCATTGAATAATCAATTGAGATGCACAGGTGTGTGAAAACCTAACTTGCTGACAAGTGTAATTATTTTTGTCTTTCTGCCTTTCACATATTTCTCCACTCTGCTGTCACTGGCTACAGATTCTCAAACCCTGACACAAATCTGCCAACACAAAAATTCTTAAAAGCGTTGATATCTCACCCCACCTGTTACTCAAATGATGTTGCAGTTCCTTGTCCACTAAAGGAGCTCTGATTTCTGCTGCTTCTTTCCTAAGTGTGTTTCCTGTGTTATTTTTCATCCAGCTTGAGCAGAGGGGGGTGGACCACTGTGCTCCCTTCCAACCTTACCCATTCTGTGAGTTCTTTGAAGAATTTAATGTATTTTTAATTTTACTTGTAACTTGGTATCAAATTAGGTTACTGAAGAGTTCAGTATTTGTCCTAGTGTTTGACTGGATATCACTGTACAAGTGGGGCTGTGGAAACCTGAAAAGTATGCAAAATTCACATATACTGTAGGTGTTCTGCACATTCAAAAGGAAAAAATGTTGAGATAACTCAAGCTTCCCAATTTGTAAGAGGTTCAGAACTTTACCCAAAAATCTGCTGAAGTGAATAGAGAATTAGATGTCACTTGTCTTTAATGGAAAAAAAGAACTTGTAACTGAAGGCTAAGCCTCTTGAGAACAGGAAGAAAGGAAGCAAAATATTTCCAAAAGGTTGAAAATTCTGAATCTACAAAAAGACAATTTTGAGAATTTTATTAGGTTTTTATGTCTACAGTCTAAATTGGTAATGTTAGGCATTCATGGTGTGCAAAGTTCTGTTTATTGGTATGTTTGAAAAATGTACAGGTTCTTCTGAATATGTGCCATTCGTTATCTTTTCACACAATCAGTTTACAGGTTTTTTTAATGTTAAAAGTTAAATATAACTGTCTAGAACATAGAATGTAGTCAGACTAGTTTGTCTTCAGTTACAAAACAGCACAGGATATTATAGAATTTTTCCAGTCAACAATTGAACTTTGTCTTTTAATAGTAGGAGAAAAAGCAAGCAGGAATTACCTGTAGAAGTGACTTAAAAGTTCTGTAATTCTTGTGAAACTTTGATCATGGCACCTGCTGAGCTCTTTCCTTATGGAAGAATACATGAATATAATTCCAGGCAGTTTTTGGTCTCAGTAACAGGAGTGTCACTGCCCCATGCATGTGAAAAAGAAGGATTTTCCCAAATAGACTTCTACAACTGTGATGAAATATTTGAAGTGAGTGCCACCTCTCTGATCAATTTTACAGTCATGTGTTTGCTGAATATGTATTTTACATTTTTTAGTGACCAGGAAAGCAGGAATTTAGAAACCTTCAGAATAGCTTCAATAACAGCACTGTTCATTTAACTTATTAAATCTCTGCCAAAATGTGCTCCTGATTACAGAGAATTTGATTCAGTGTTGAAGCTGTGGAAGAGGACATTTACCAGGCTACTGGTATGTCCTAAACAGATCCAGACTGGGAGTCCAGTTAGGATAAATGATTGAGCTCGTTTCTGAGAGTCCTTTTATTCATAATAAACATTATTTTTTCTCCCTTATCATTTATTTCTCCAGTGGAAGAAAATTAAAATGCATGTATAACCCTTTGTATCAGCTACATGAGAAAGGACTTGTGGTATATCAATGTAAAGAAAAGTAGCAATATTGCAGAATGTTAGTGTGAGTGAGATTATTACCTATAGCTTTTGGAGTCCACATTTCTCTGGGAGAACTTGAGTGAACAGATGTAAAAACTGACTCTTGGTTGTGCTAGTTAATGCTGAGAAAAAGACATCAAATGAACTTTGGAGAAAGCTAAAGTGTACCAGTTGGAACAGGCCAAGTTTGAAATTTTGGTTTGGTTAAGCATGATTTTTACATATGCTAAATACTTATGACTATACTTTAGGCTAATTAGAAATTAGTCCTCAGGTGCTTAACCCAAGTGAAAATCAGATCATACATGTGATACTATCAAGGTAAGATGTTGCTACTACATGAGGGCACTGCAAAAGGGCATGAGCCTTGGCCATTGCCAACGGCAGCTCATGTGAGTGTATTTCTGACATGACTTGATCTCTTCTGCATTTTCTATTATTAGAAAGCTCAAGAGATTGTCCTTCTCTCCCCTCCTCTGATGAGCCACCGTGTTAACCTTTGCTGATTTGGAACTGTGTGTCTCTGGAGCACTTCACTTGATGGAGAGAGCAGGACTGTGCCAGGGGAGACTTGCTATGGCACATTTATTGTTGATGCACTTTAGAATTGTTGTGCCTCTTCTGGCCCTTTTTGCTTATAAATAGGTATTTTATAGCAGAAAATAAACTACTGTGTACATATCATTTGCCTTGGAAATGGCCAAGAGAAGGTGGAAATAATTGCAGAGCATCTCAGGTAGTTTGGAAAACTATGAACCTATCAGTTCCACGGTGTCTGTTATCTGTTTTCATTTTAAAAAAGCTTCTGAAGAATATAAGAATGAGGAGAAATAATTATGGGTTGCTGTACCTCTTCGAAATCAATGCCAATTTTGCACTTCTGCTTCTTAAACCAGGAAAAGAAATTAATGACATGTTAATTTGCATATCAGGAGGGCCTGACCTGGACAGGATAAGAATAGACTCCTGCAGGAGTTTTCTTATTGTGCTTGCTTTTTAAAATTTAATTTTGTGTTTTTAAATTTAATGTGGATTTGTAAAGCTCTTTTGAAGAGCATTTCAGAGCATTTCTTTTTTTGTCAAGTTAACATCTGTTTTGGATGTTCAAAATCAGTGCATTTTTCATCCTTAAAAAAACCCAGATGTTGCTCTTCAGTAAATATAGCAGGAAAAGTTTTCAGCACCAGCATAGTTGTCACGTAGTTTCAACCATCAAATAGTTTCTTTAATTTCTGTTAAGGATTAAGGATTCTGGACAAGCTCAGAAGTAAGACTGTGGACTCTGAAAGCAAGCAGCATTTTATAATGAATCCTATTAGATGTGGAAATTTCAATCAGACCTCTGTATTTGTAGAGTTACACTGCACTCCTGCAGTAATGTTTAACAGGCAGAATTAACTGGTTACAAATCTTAAGGATTTCGAGACAAGCTCTGGAAACTTTGCCAAATTTTATGCTCAATTTAAATGGCTGAGTTCAAGTTGTGAGCAGCAGATAATTCAGTGCCCCAGTTTAGCACTATCTCCCACTGTCTTAAAAATAACAGAGCTGTGAATCTGTATCACTCGACTGTGGATGTTACAACAATTAGAGGGTGTATAAATTTTAGGGGAAAAGCCATTTAGAATTGGATGTGCACTTCTGTGCAGTTATTGAGTTCAATTAAAAATATTTTTTCACTTGTTTTCTCAGAATATAAAATAACAACAGAAAAATGCATATTTTATAATCTCTCTTCACCATGGAGTTGTTATGGGTTATTCTCATTCTGGATTATTCCTTGTGGAGAATAGCAGACTGCCTGTTTTAAATGAAATGCCAGTAGCAGATCTTATTGAATAAATAAAACATAAATCTCCACATGCAGTGCACCAGGAATTCAAAGGTGAAATAGCTGAAAACTGACTGATAAATAGCTTCTGGCTTGCATACCACAGATTTTAAAGTAGCTAATCTGACATAATTTTTAAAAGGATTTAAGGAGGTCTAAAACCTGAGTTGTTACAAACGATTAGGAAAGGGATAGACAAATAGAAAAAGCTATTATGCTGTGTATAATCTCTGGTTTATCTGTGTGCAATTCTACTCCTCTCCAAAGAAATATATCAACTGCAAATAATATGGGTGGAAAAAAAAAGATTTTTTCACTGGAGGAGCACATTAGAAATTCTCAGACTGCACGAAAGGCATCTGAGAGTGGAATACAATAGCAATCTTTCAAATCATGAAGGAAATGGAGACATTTTTAACTGTTTCAAAATGCAAATTGGAGCATCCACTGAAATTATTGCCTTGCAATTTCAAAACGAGTGCATGACAGTGTTTTTCTCCACAATGTATAATTGGGGGTAATACTGGAAGTTTTTGTGGGTCTAGAAAATAATTGAGCTAATTAAATTGAAGAAAAGTCAATCCAAAC